CCTTGGACATGGTTGCTTACATGTAGGCCCAGCTCCAACTTCAAAGAAAGAAATCCTTCCTGTCTGGGCACAGTGACTCATGCCTATAATCCCAGAACTTTGGGAGGCCAAGGCAGGGGGATCACTTGAGGTCAGGAGTTCGAGACCAGCCTGGCCAAAAAGCTGAAACCCATTCTCTACTAAAAATACAAAAATTAGCTGGATGTGGTGGCAGTGCCTCTAATCCCAGCTACTCGGGAGGCTGAGGCAGGATAATTCCTTGAACCTGGGAGGTGGAGGTTGCAGTGATCTGAGATCATGCCACTGCACTCTAGCCTGTGTGACAGAGTGAAACCCCATCTCAAAAAAAAAAAAAAAAAAGAAGAAATCCTTCCCTATCATGAATTAATGAAACATAAGATGTCAAATAAAGTTTAAGGTTTTATCATTTATAATTAATATGATCATTTCAACAATTGCTAAAAAAGAATTCCATAAAATTCAACATCAATGACTAACTTGTTTATTTACTTATTTATTTTACAGAGGGGGGCAGGGTCTCACGTCACCCAGGCTGGAGTACAACGGTATGATCATGGGTCATGAAGCCTTGACCTATGCCCCACCATGCCTGGCTAATTACAATTTTTTTTTTTTTTAAATGGAGTCTCACTCTGTTGCCAGGCTGGAGTGCAGTGGTGTGATCTCAGCTCACTGCAACCTCTGCTTCCTGGGTTCAAGTGATTCTCCTGCCTCAGCCTCCTGAGCAGCTTGGCTTACAGGTGTGTGCCACCATGCCTGGCTAATTTTTGTATTTTTAGTAGAGATGAGGTTTCACCATATTGGTCAGGCTGATCTCGAACTCCTGACCTTGTGATCCACCTGCCTGGGCCTCCCAAAGTTCTGGGATTATAGGCATGAGCCACTGCTCCCGGGCAACAGAAAAAAATTTTTTTAGAGACAGGGTCTCCCTGTGTTTCCCAGGCTGGTCTCAAACTCTGGGACTCAAGTGATCCTGTTGCCCTGGCCTTGCAAAGCACTGGGATTACAGGCATTAGCCACTGTCCTCAGCCTAAGAAAAATCCCTTTAAACATTTCATATGTAGTCATTTTATATTCCATATCTAATAAATATTTCAATATCTGAATCAATTGGGAAGTTAAGTCTGTTGATTTTGTGGGTGTACATGTTTGTATGTGTGTGTGATGCTGCATTTATGGTGACTTGTTCTTAATATTCTTGGCACTTTCATTTTTTTTTTTTTTAGACAGAGTCTCACTCTGTTGCCTAGGCTGGAGTGCAGTGGCATGATCTCAGCTCACTGCAACCTCCATGTCCCAACTTCATGTGATTCTCCTGCTTCAGCCTCCTGAGTAGCTGGGAACCACAGGAGCGCACCACCAAGCACAGCTGATTTTTGTATTTTTAGCGGATTTGGGGTTTTACCATGTGGGCCAGTCTGGTCTTGAACTCCTGAGCTCAAAGCAATCTACCTCCTTGGGCTCCCAAAGTGCTGGGATTATAGGCGTGAGCCGTGGTGACTGGCTCTTGGCATTTTTAAATTTTTTTCTTTTTGGGGAGACAAAGTCTTGCTCTGTCGCCCAGGCTGGAGTGCAGTGGTGAAATCTTGACTCACTGCAACCTCTACCTCCTGGGTTCAGGCAATTCTCTTGCCTCGGCCTCCTGAGTAGCTGGGACTACTGGCGAGTGCCACTATGCCCGGTTAATTTTTGTATTTTTAGTAGAGATGGGGTTTGCCCTGTTGGGCCAGGCTGGTCTCAAACTTCTGACCTCAAGTGATCCACCTTCGTTAGCCTCCCAGAGAACTCGATTACAGGCATGAGCCACTGTGCCCAGCTGGCATTTTTAATTTTTTTTTTTAAAGACAGCGTTCAGGCTGGGCACGGTGGCTCAAGCCTGTCATCCCAGGACGTTGGGAGGCCGAGGCGGGTGAATCACGAGGTCAAAAGATCGAGACCATCCTGGTCAACATGGTGGAACCCTGTCTCTACTAAAAATACAAAAACTTAGCTGGGCATGGTGGCGTGTGCCTGTAATCCCAGCTACTCAGGAGGCTGAGGCAGGAGAATTGCCGGAACCCAGGAGGCGGAGGTTGCGGTGAGTTGAGATTGTGCCATTGCACTCCAGCCTGGGTAACAAGAGTGAAACTCTGTCTCAAAAAAAAAAAAAAAAAAAAGACAGGGTTTTACCATGTTGGCCAGGCTGGTCTTGTACTCCTAACCTCAGGTGATCCACCTGCCTTGGCCTCCCGAAGTGCTGAGATTACAGGTGTAAGCCATCATGCCCGGTCAATTTTTTTTTTTTTTATGATACGGAGTCTTGCTCTGTCCCCCAGGCTGGAGCAAGATCTCAGTTCACTGCAACCTCTGCCTCCAAGGTTCAAGTGATTCATCTGCCTCAGCCTCTCGAGTAGCTGGGACTACAGGTGTGTGCCACCACATCCGGCTAATTTTTGTATTTTTATCAGAGATGGGGTTTCACCATATTGGTCTGGCTGGTCTTATTCTGACCTTGTGATCTGCCCACCTCAGCCTCCCAAAGTTCTGGGATTACAGGCATGAGCCACCAGGCCCAGTTGGTATTTTTAAATTTTAAGCTCACATTTGATATCAGAATCCTGAAGCCTAAATTATGGGTTCCTCTCTCCATAGGGACTGTGTTTGCTTCTGCTAAGAGCCTAGGACCATTACTAACAAGGGACCACTTTGACCCCCTTTCAGTGTCCTGACTGAACTTGGTAAACTTAGGTACTCCACCTTGTTGGGGAGTCCAGTCTTGATTTCTAGATTATGTGTTAACGTGCTGCTTTCTCTCAATCTCTCTCTCTACATATACACATATAAATATTATTTATATAATGACATTATATGTATTATATTTATGTATATTATACCATTTATATAATATACAATGACATTTTAGATAAATATAAATGATGGGCATGCACACACACACACACACACACACACACAAGCAATCCTTTCCCCTCATGATTGAGACTACAGGTGTGTGCTACTGTGCTCTGTGCTGGGCTCTAGTTTCAAGTTTTGAGAAGATCTGCTCAGTTCCAGCTAAACAACGTTTTTCCCGTTAAGGCAGTTCCCCTGACAGTTCACTTGGTATGCTGCTGTCTAGCTGGGTCAGATGTGGCCAATGAGGAAAGGATCCAAATGCACACAGAATGTAGCTACCAATACAAAAGTTAATTATCTACAGTCAGTTTCCATAGCACAGATTTATAAGAAAAAAATAGAAGGATGATTGACATTGCAAATGAATGGCTTAGTTTGTTCTCTACAAGTGGTATATAAGTGTATCATTTATAATTCTTTCTGCTGAAGGAATAGAAAGCAACTAAAACTGATTTACGAAAAGTAATTTATTGGCTTACACACTGAGAAGCCTAGAACAGCTGGCTTTTGGAGTAGCTGAACCATCCGGGCGCAATTGCTCATGCCTGTAATCCTGGCTCTTTGGGAGGCTGAGTTGGGAGAATCGCTGGAGCCTGGGAAGTTAGGCCTGCAATGAGTCATGATCATGCCACTGCACTCCAGCCAGGACCACAAAGGGAGACCCTGTATCAAATAACAACAGCAACGGCAAACCAAAAAATAAACAAAAGGAATAAATAAACCATTTTCTTAACTGATATTGTCAAAAATCTCTCACTCTGACTTCTGCTTTCTTCTGTGATAATTTCATTCTCATCCCCGTCTATTCCAAGCTTAAATTCCCTCAAGTTCAACTTAAGTAAAAAATATGGAGACCTCTCCCCTTCTTTTTAGCATTGTTGCTTATAGGATGAAGCAGTATAATGTTCCAGAGCATGAACTCAGGAACCACACTGGCTCACTTAATATTTTTGTAGCCTTTGATAGGTTAACTTTTCCAAGTCTTGGTTTCTTCATTTGTTTTTTGAGACTTCACAATAGTTCTTACTTCAGGGGTTTGCTGCGAGGATTAAAGAAGTTAATATTTGTAAAATGCTTTAAATAGTGACTAGTCCAGAAAAAGGGGGGGAGACACAAAATTATCAGGTTTTGATTAGGTTATAAGCTTACTCCAGTGTCCTAACCGGGTTTGGTTAGATTTGGGACTTCCTATACAAACTACACAGATCTGGGCTGGGCATGGTGGCTCATACCTGTAATCCCAGTACTTTGGGAGGCTGAGGCAGGTGGATCGCAAGGTCAGGAGTTCGAGACCAGCCTGACCAACATGGAGAAACCCCATCTCTACTAAAAATACAAAAATTAGCCAGGTGTGGTGGTGGGGGCCCGTAATTCCAGCTACTTGGGAGGCTGAGGCAGGAGAATCACTTAAACCCAGGAGGCAGAAGTTGCGGTGAGCAAAGATCACGCCACTGCACTCCAGCCTGGCGCCTGGCAACAGAGTGAGACTCTGTCTCAAACAAACAAACAAAAAATGGATTTGTAGTAGTGGAAGAATGCTTTCTTTTTTTTTAGAGTGAGTCTTGCTCTCTCACCCAAGTTGGAGTGCAGTGGCACGATCTTGGTTCACTGCAACCTCTGCCTCCTGGGTTCAAGCAATTCTCCTGCCTCAGCCTCCTGAGTAGCTGGGATTACAGGTGCCCACCACTACACTTGGCTAATTTTTTTGTATTTTTAATAGAGACGAGGTTTCACCATCTTGGCCAAGCTGGTCTTGAACTCCTAACCTTATGATCCACCCACGTTAGCCTCCTAAAGTGCTGTGATTACGGGCATGAGTCACTGGGCCTGGCCTGGTGGTTTCTTTTAAGAAATTTGGAGGGTCATGCCAGGCACGGTGGCTCATGCCTGTAATCGTAGCACTTTGGGAGGCCGAGGTGGGTGGATCACCTGAGGTCAGGAGTTGAAGACCAGCCTGGCCATCATGGCGAAACCCCATCTTTAAAAAAAAAAAAAGAAAAGAAATTTGGAGGGTCATTACTATGAGGCAGGGGGAATGGATGCTGCATGAACATAAGCAACAAATTGTCTAAGGGCAAATTGTTGCCTCGGAACTCTCTTTATTACACAAGCAAACACAAATTCATGTACAATGTTTCTAATAATGAAAAGGGACACAGAGTAACCAGAGAGAATTTCTGTTTATGTCTTTTGTTGTAAATGAGTGACACTTTCTCAATTGTGTTCCCACGAAATTTTGTGTTCTCTTGGTACTCATCATACCTTAATCATTTTTTTTTCTTTTATGTTTGAGATGGAGTCTTGCTCTGTTGCCCAGGCTGTAGTGCACTGGTGCCATCTCCACTCACTGAAATGTCTGCCTCCAGGCTTCAAGCGATTCTCCTGCCTCATCCTCCTGAGTGGCTGGGATTATAGGCGCCCGTGGCCGTGCCCAGCTAATTTTTGTATTTTCAGTAGAGATGGGGTTTCGCCATGTTGGCCAGGCTGGTGAGGTGATCCACTTCTAACCTCGGTGATCCACCTACCTAGGCCTCCCAAAGTGCTGGGAGTACAGGCATGAGCCTCCGGGTAATCATTTATTTCACTCAACAAAGCGCTTGCTGTGTACCAGGACCTGTTTTTGCACAAAACAGGCAATCCATGCATTGCTGACATTCACATTCTAGTGGGGTAGAGATGGACAGACCATAAAATCAGTAAGAAAAATATGTTATAATAGATGGTTATGAGTGCTTTAGATTAAAATTAAGTAGGAGAGGCAGGCAGGGAGTGCGTAGGTATGTTTCAATTTTATACAGGGTGGTCAAGGTTTGTTATCTATTTCGCCTTGTCAACAGTTCCTGCAGGACAGGAACAAATCTCACTTCCATTTGCCTTCACACTGCCAGCACTTAGCACAGCGCCAGGCACTCAGAGAGGCAATAACTTTATACCGAATACATTTTATGCCTTCCAAGAAGCAAGCAGTTGAGAAACAAAGGTGTATAACTAGATATTGGCTCTAAGGTCCAAAATCCAAATAACCTAATCATTTGCGATTAATTTTATTCATTCCATTAACTTAAGCTAAGATCTTTTAGCACGTTTAGACTACAGACCAAAGTTGTGTTAACTAGTATTACAGGACTTTTCACGTTTTTTCAAACATCTTCTGGCCACCTCTTTGACCCTACAACTACGCAAAAATTTTTACTTTTCAAAAAGCTTCCACAGCTTTTGCCAATTATTTCTTGATCTCGAATAGCTATTGTCACAGCACTTGGAGTTTAACACTGAGGTTGCGGATCGGGCCCAGTATCAGTTCCTCGAACCTCAATGAATGATTACAAAGCAAGGTTCTACGCCCCGAAAAAACTACGAAAAGTGAGAAATCCTCTAAACACTCATCGCGCGGTGCCCGGCAGGAATCTTGACCTCAAGATGGCGTCCCGTAGTCGTAACATTCAGTCGACTCCAATCACATATGGCAGGGTGGGTCATAATTTACAGTTCGGGCCTTTCTAGTAGTGGTTAGACGCTGCTTCTCTATGGTTATTCCGTCTCAGTCAGAGCCAACAGCGGAGACGATCTATATACGTTCTCTATGGTTCCGCGCTCCACGCCTCTGGCCGCAGTGCATGCCGGGCAAGAGGAAGACCTCCAGCAGCTCCCCGCGCAGCGCGGCTGTGTTTGCGGCCTGTGCGAGTAGGAGCTTCGGCACTCACTCTCCCGGGCGAGCGGCGCGCCGAAACCTCGAACCAGTGGAGCCCACTCGTAACCTGGATCCCCGAAGGCCGCGAAGGCAGTACCGTTTCCTCAGCGGCGGGTGAGTTTGTGTCTCTGAACGCGTGTGGAAACCGGGAGACCGGGCGACTCGGCTGGTGGAGGAGAAAAAGCCGGGGTGGCTGCGAAAGCGCCAGGGTGGGGTAGAGGTAAGGGGGGGGTGGCGGGTGGGGGAGGGGCCGGCACGAGGCTTGGTTTCTCCGCTTCTCTTAAGGCCTTGAAAACCAGTGGGCCCAGCCGGAGCCCGTGGAGGGCAGACCTACGGCTTGAGCTTTCCGTCTTGCATTGTCGCCCACTTTCCCTTTCCCTTCCACGTTCCTCCGCGGAGTGACTCGTCTCTGCACCTTGTGGGCTCCACGTTAGCCACAGAACGATCGATCTGCCCCTGGGGAGCCTTTCCCTGAGCCCCCTTGCCTACCGGAGCCCCACAGTGGATTTTCGGGCCTGGGACACACTCATCCCAGGCTCTGCTTTGAAGTTAGCTTCCACCCACCCTTTTTAGCGAGGTGCTGGTCACCAACGGATATCTTTCCCTTCCTCTTTGGCTACCTAGAGCCCGCCACCAAGTAAACTGGCCCCACCCCCTTGGAATTGAGCTAATACCTACCTTTTTAGCACTGTCCTGGCTTGCTTAAGATAGTCATGAATTTTGCTGTCCTTCTCCTTTGCTCGTTGGACGTTGCGGTAAACCGTATATCGCCATTCATTCTAGGCGATTACTAAGCTCCGCATTAAAATGTTACTTTCTCATTCTTTGGTCTTCCATCATGCTTTTAAAATACGTTTTTCCGGAATAGACCTAGGACTATGAAGATTATTTTTAAGTTATGTAATACGGATTTGTATTGCCATGAAAATGCCATTTTGATAGTGGGCAGAGTGGAGCCAAGAGAAGGGAAGAGATTGGACTTGTCTTGCACCGTACTGCTGTATTAGTGGGAAGTACTGTGTATTAGGCCGTTGGCAGCAGTGTATAAACAAATTTCATATTGTCTTTGGGTTTTAATTTTTTTTATTGCCTTCTCTGCACTAGCATGGATTTTAATTTTTATTTTTAAGGTTATTTCCAAAAACATTCAGAGGACTTGAAAGGCATTCAGTTCGTCATAAGTTACTCATAATTTCAGTAAATCTTACACTATTCTAATTCATTTAACTTAAAGTCTTGGTTTTTCTTTTTCTTTTTTCTTTTATTTCAAGCTTTGGTTTTTCTTTCTCTGTGAAATGAATTTATAGGAGTAATCCACCTTATAGGCTATTGAGGTTGGGGATTGAGAAAAACGTATGTAAAATCCTTAGTGCAATATCCAGGTAACACAGAGTAAGCGTTTAAATCTGTATTAATTGACATAATTTGTTATTTAAGAATTTTTAATGAAATGTAAGAGCCCAATCCTGACTCTTAATATTTTTAAGAAATGTATTCCGAATAGACTTTGAGCAAGATCAAAACTAATCCTTAAGAAGTCTCTTTCTCATGGGTATGTTATTGCTAGAAAGAGACGTTGTAGAGCGAAAACAGCCTTTGTTGGATGGTGGGGATCTTGGAGTGTCCACCACATATTGTGTGCTCTTGAACAAATTGGCTTCTTCATGTGTAAAAATTATACACAACTGGCAAAGAGCACCTGGTAATTTGGGAGATTAAATGGGATAATGTATGATAAAGACTTTTGTAAACAAAAGTAAATTTAACTGTTGGCATAAGTAGTTCATCCTTTGGGGGTAACCAGTTTTCCCTTTTTTTTGTTGTTTTTTTGTTTGCTAAAGTGGGTCCTTTAGGAAATAAAAGGACCTCTTCCTTTTCCTTCTCCTTGTAGGGTAACACAAGGCTTTTAAGAAGAAACGTTTTTATTGTCTTACTGTCTTATAGGCATCATGTGTTAACGCCTATTTCCACAGGCATTAACTGGTTTATTTTTATTTTTTATTTTTTTTTGTGGTGGGGAGGGTGCGGAGTCTTGTTCTGACACCCAGGCTTGAGTGCAATGGTAAGATCTCTGCTCACTGCAGCCTCCACCTCTCGGGTTCAAGCGATACTCCTGCCTCAGCCTCCCAAGTAGCTGGGACTATAGGTACCTGCCACCACACCCAGCTAATTTTTGTATTTTTAGTAGAGTCAGGGTTTCACCATGTTGTCCAGGCTGGTCTTGAATTCCTGACCTCATGTGATCCGCCCGCCTTGGCCTCGCTAAGGGCTCGGATTATATTCGTGAGCCACTGCACCTAGCCAATATACTTTTTTTAAAATGGCAACTATACGAACTATATTGACATATCAAATTTACCTGTAATGCGCAATTCAGTGATTCTTAGTAAATATACAAAGTTGTGCATCCATTACCCCAAGGTTTTTTTGTTTTTGTTTTTTAGTTTTTTGAGTCAGAATTTCTCTCTTGTTGCCCAGGCTGCTGGAGTGCAACAGCGGGATCTTGGCTTACCACAACCTCTGCCTCCCGGGTTCAAGCAATTCTCCTGCGTCATCTTCCCGAGTAGCTGGGATTACAGGCGGGTGCCACCACACCCAGCTAACCCAATTTTGTATATTATCATAATAATGTATTTTTTCTTTATAGATAGTAGTAGTGCTGCTTTTTTGTTTCATTTTGAGATGGGGTCTGTTTCACCCAGGTTCAAGTGCAGTACTGCGATCTTCTGCTACTTCTGCATCCCAGGTTTAAGTAATCTTCCTATTCCAGCCTCCCAAGTAGCTGGCGCCACAGGCTTATGCAACCATGCCTGGGTAGTTTTTTGTATTTTTGGTAAAGATGGGGTTTTACCATGTTTCCCAGCCTTGCCTGGAACTCAAGCACAAGGGATCCACCTGCCTCAGCCTCCCAGTGTGCTGGGATTACAGGTATGAACCACAGTGCCCAGCCCTTTTTTTTTTTTTTTTTTTTTTGAGATAGATTCTTCCTGTGTTGCCCAGGCTGAAATGCAGTGGCTATTCATAGGGTAATCCCACTACACCTGATCAGTTTGGGAGTTTTGCCCTTCTCTGTTAGGAACCTCGTGGTTCCCCCTCATCCCAGGAGGTTACCTATTGGTGCTAAATGAACTTAGCATGAACACCCGATTAGCATAGTGCTGCAGCCCAGAACTCCTGGACTCATTCATCCTCCTGCATAGCTGTATTTATGGGCAGGCACAGTAATGTTGCCATTTAATCACTGAAAATGGTAAAACAACAAAGTGGCAATGTCAGAAAAAGATCAGCTCTTTTTTGGAGATTTCAAAACAGTTGAGTATTTTCATACTTCTGAAAAGCTTTGCTGTAAACATTTTCTGTTAAGCATTTCCCATTCTTCTTTAGGCATAAAACACTTTTTTCTAGGAATAATTCCTGTAGACCTGGCACATAATTGGACGTAGATGTTGAATGAATGAGTGAGTTGTGTGTGAATATTTGCTGAGGGGAATCTGTCAGTTCATTCTTATCATTTCAGAAATTTGGCACATAATGTACTACTGATGGAGCTAGTCTAAAATAATCTATCCTGGGAGAAATACTTTGTTTCTGTCTGGATAAGTCTACAATAGAGGAATGCTTATGAGCAGTATTTTGCTATATTTTGCATACTTGCAGTATTCTCAAGAGTGCAGAAAAAAGAATGGTTTGAAGAGTAAAGAGAAAAAAGAAAAGCAGAGTGCATACATGTGGAGATAGGTCTTCAGGGTTTTTTTTTTTTTTTAACCCCAGCCCATGCCCCCAGGGTTTCTTTTTGGACCACATTTCTTGAGATAAAATTTGCACACAATTAATTTCATTGGGTTTTGACAAATGCATGTACCTGTGTGACCACCGCCAAACTAGAGATAGCAAATGCTTCCATCATAGGTTCCTGTTTTATTTAATATTTGGGGGGCCTTGCTCTGTCGCCCAGGCTGGAGTGCAGTGGTGCGATCTTGGCTCATTGCAACCTCTACTTGCCAGGCTCAAGTGATTTTCCCGCCTTAGTCTCCCGAGTATCTGGGACCACAGGTGTGTGCTACCACACCTGGCACATTTTTTGTATTTTTGGTAGAGATGGGATTTTACCGTGTTGCCAAGGCTGGTCTGGAACTCCTGAGCTCAAGTAATCCTCCTGCCTTGGCCTCCCAGAGTGCTGGGATTCAGGCATGAGCCACTGTACCTGGCCCAGGTTCCTGTTTTTATTATCCTGGGCTATAAAGTTTCATACTTAGCAGGAAAAGGTGCTTCTGAAACTGAGGTCCTTTCAATATTTTTAAAAATGCTATGGAAATAATTTCAGTGCTAATAACTCTGCATCTCTCTGTCTTAAATCACACATACTGTATAATCCCTCAACAAATTCTTTTGGCTGCCTTCAAAATATATCCAGGATCCAACAACTTAATAGCACTTTTACCACTACCACATGTTCCAGGCTGCCATGTCTTATATTATTATTGTGCTGGTCTCTTACTTCTATCCTGTTCCCTTCCAGTCTTAACACAGTGGACAGTGATACTGTAAAAATGTGACAAGTTAGAAACTCTTGAAATATTTTTTATCTCATTCAGAGTTAAAACTAAAATGTTTACAGTGTGCTACATAGCCCTACATTCTACAAGTAATACTCAGTATTTATCTCTGACTTTCATTTATTCTGCTCCAGTCATTATATTTGCCTTCTTATTATTCCTCCCTCAAACATACCATTCCTACCTCACCCTCTTTGTCTTTTCCTTTGCTTGAAGTTTCTTTCTCCCAGATATGAATAGGGCTTCCTACTTCTGCCTCTTTTAAATCTTTGTTCTAATCTTCACCTTCTTGTTAAGGCCTAATCTCTGTATTTAAAATAAACTACACCATAGCTCTCTTAGCTGCTTTGTTTTTCTGCAAAGTACATACCAGCTTTCAGTCTTATAATTTATTTTGTTTATCATCTATAGGTAACAACAGATAAGTTTTGTTTATTATTATAAAAATTCTCAATCAGTTTCGCATGGCAAAACATATAAACTTGTGTTGAAGGAAGTAGTTGGTAATCTCATTTTAGGCTGGTTAAAGTGAACATTTGTATTTAAAAGATCACCAGAAATGTTATCTGAATTTCCGTGAGAGGCCAATTATCTTAATAAAGGAATATCTATAAAAATTAGCTATTAACTGGTATTTGCCTTTACCTTTGAAGTCTGTCCTATGAACAAGCAAGTTTTGGCAGCTCCAAACAAAAGGGGAATATGTTCAAATATGGTAAAATTTGAAGTGAATGGACTGGGTATATTGGCATAAACAAAAATTAAATATATCTGGTTAACTGCAGAATGAATTACAGTTTTTTGTTTTTTTTTTTAAACCACAGAGTCTTGCTCTGTCACCCAGGCTGGAGTACAGGCATGTGATCTTGGCTCACTGCAACCTCTGCCTCCTGGGTTCAAGTGATTCTCCTGCCTCAGCCTCCTGAGTAGCTGGGACTACAGGAGTGTGCCACCACACCTGGCTAATTTTTGTATTTTTTAGTAGAGATGGGTTTTGCCAAATTGGTGAGGCTGGTATTGATCTCTGATTTTGAACTCCTGACCTCAGGTGATTGACCTGCCTCAGCCTCCCATAGTGCTGGGATTATAAGTGTGAGCCACTGTGCCCGGCCTGAATTACAGATTTAAAAACCATAAAATATAACTTAAATACCAGGAATATAGAGTTTTGTTTATTTATTTATTTTTGAGACGGAGTCTTACTCTGTTGCCCAGGCTGGAGTGCAGTGGTGTGATCTTGGCTCACTGCAGCCTCTGCCTCCTGGGTTCAAGTGATTCTCCTGCCTCAGCCTCCTGAGTAGCTGGGATTACAGGCACCCACCACCATGCCTTGCTAATTTTTATATTTTTAGTAGAGACAGAATTTCACCATGTTGACCAGGCTGGTCTCAAACTGACTTAAAATGATTCTCCCCCCTCAGCCTTCCAAAGTGTTGGGGTTACAGGCGAGGCCCACGGTGCCCAGCCTAAAGCGTTATTTATATGTAATACTAGTGGGGGAAAAGTGGTTCTAGAGATGAATTCATGTCCCAGTCTTGTAACCATTGTAAGGCTAGGTATTGGGCCATTGCTAGTATATAGTGTGCAGCATGAGATAGCATAATAAATTTGTTTATTGAGGTCCTCAGAGTTTGTTTACTGATTCATTCATTAATCAGTTTATTTATTTAACAGGTATTAAAACCAACTACCCTAAGGAATTGCTGAGATAGGCTATTATAATGATAATAGAAGAGTTTCTGTAAGTAGGACAGTAGCCCTATCTGTTTTAAAAGGAGATACAACACCTAGAATTTTTGTTTTTGGTCAATAAAGTTTATTTTAAAACTCAGCACATTTACAATCTTGCAATCTTGTGTTTTACCTTTGTTAATATACGCTGATACCTAACTACTGTTGTTGATTTTTCCTTTCTTGAAATGGAGTCTCACTCTGTTGCCCAGGCTGGAGTGCAGTGGTGTGATATTGGCTCACTGCAACATCTGCCTCCTGGGCTCAAGCAGTTCTCCTGCCTCAGCCTCCTGAGTAGCTGGGATTATAGGCACCTAGGCACCTGTCACAACACCCAGCTAATTTTTTTTTTTGTATTTTTTGTAGAGACGGAGTTTCGCCTTGTTGGCCAGGCTGGTCTCGAACTCCTGACCTCAGGTGAATCACCCTTCTCAGCCTCCCAAAGTACTGGGATTACAGGCACAAGCTACTGTGCCCCGCTCCAGCTTGGAATAAAATTTTTATGAACTGATGTGAGGAGATGGCAATTATAATGAGGGAGAAATTCACATGATATTATGGTTGTAGGAAAACAAAAATTATGTATTAGGTTGTAAAAAGATACTAAGAAGAACACAGCAGTAGATACTAAACTTGGGATTGGGGGCAAGAAAAAATAGTATAATTCATTCTGCAGAGTTAATCAGATTTTTTTACATTTTTTATCTTTTCTCTTCTGAAGGGTAAAACAATTCTAAAACATAAAAGAGAAAATAGTAGAGACAAATATTTTTAAACAGCTTTAAACAGTTTTAGGCTTCATTGACAGAGTGGGAGTTACAGATGGAAGAATTTCATATCTCCTGTTTATGAAATCAGTAATTTTAGTGGAATCATGAATCAGTTATTTTGGCTACTTACAAGAAAAAAATTGATGCTTGTTATCCCAGGACATTCTAATATTGTCCTCATTTTCCAATACTGGATGCTTAAATATGTTGCTGATGGAAGGCCGAGACAGGCGGATTGCCTGAGCTCTGGAGTTAGAGACCGGCCCCAGCAATATGGTAAAACTCCGTCTCCAAAAAAAAAAAAAAAAAAAAAAGCAGAGCATGGTGGCACGCACGTGTAGTCCCACTTACTTTGTGGGCTGAGGCAGGATTGCTTGAGCCTGGGAGATTGAGGCTGCAGTGAGCTGAAATTGTGCCACTGCACTCTAGCCTGGATGACAGAGCAAGACCCTGTCTCCTACCAACAACAACAAAAAAATGTGTTGCTGAAAATAAAGTTTGAAGTGAGAAAAGCGTGTGTGTGTTTATATGTGTTTGTGTTTGAGACAGGGTCGTGGTCTGTATTTCAGCCTCAAGCCATCCTCATGCGTCAGCCTACCAAGAAGCTGGGACCATAGGCGCACACTACCATACTTGGCTAATTTTGATAATATTTAAATACTAACATTAAATGCTAATACTTAACAAGACAGGAAAGTTTTCTTTCACTAAGTGAAACACTTAAATATGTTCTTTTTTTTTTTTGTCCTCCTCGAAGATAGAGTCTTGCTCTGTCGCCCAGGTTGGAGTGCAGTGGTGCATTCTTGGCTCACTGTAGTCTCTGCCTCTTGGGTTGAAGCAGTTCTCCTGCCTCAGTCTCCCGAGTAGCTGGGATTACAGGCGTACACCACCAGGCACGACTAGTTTTTTTTGTTGTGCGTTTTTAGTAGAGACGGGATTTCACCCTGTTGGCCAGGCTGTTCTTTAACTCCTGACCTCAGGTGATTCACTTGCTTTGGCCTCCCAAAATGCTGGGAGTACAGGTGTGAGCCACCGTTCCCAGCCTATTATTAAACTTTAAAATATCAAATGTGGTGGGCACGGGAGGAAGGGAGTTCGAGACCAGCCTAACCAACATGGAGAAACCCCATCTCTTAAAGAAAAATCAAATGCTAGCTTCTCATTCTTCAATTTTGATTCAAGAATGATTACAAGGTTTGCTTTTAAGTTTAAAAAAAAGCATGACTTTTTTTCCCTTGTCAAATGTTGTGTATTCTCTTTATATTTGAATGGTTACTACATGACTGGAAGTCAGTTTATTTCACCCTACTGAGTGATTCATGAACACATTTGTTCCTTAGGAAGTGGCCAGAATTGAATCAACAAATGCTGTGTAACTTGGTACCTTTAGTTCTTAGGATTCTGATAGACAGAAAAAAATGACTATATCAGAATACTTAAAGACTGTTAGATACTCACCTGAATTCTCAGTTTGGTCTAAAAAGATTCATTTATGTTTGATATTTTTGGATATTAACTGAACCTCAGAATTTTTTTCTTCCTTTATATTATTATTATTACTTTTTTTTGAGACAGAGTTTCGCTGTTGTTACCCAGACTGGAGTGCAATGGCAGGTTCTTGGCTCACCGCAGCTTGTGCCTCCTGGGTTCAAGCAATTCTCCTGCCTCAGCCTCCCAAGTAGCTGGGACTACAGGTGCGCACCACTGTGCCCAGCTAATTTTTGTATTTTTAGTAGAGACGGGGTTTCACCTTGTTGGCCAGGATGATCTCGATCTCTTGACCTCGTGATCCACCTGCCTCGGCCTCCCAAAGTGCTGGGATTATAGGCATGAGCCACCCTGCCCGGCCCCTTTATATTATTTCTACATGGTTTTAGGAGTCTGTCTTGAATTTAGATTGTGTATATTTTGGCAACTTTTTAGAAGAGATCTAGGTTTTAGGAAATCTCAGTGAACAGAGAAAAAAGGGTCTTTGCCAACTTCTTTGGGTAAGAAGTTTGGAATTTTGCAGATACTTTAAAAATGAAAGTCAATAAAGCAAGCGTATAAAATTGTGAAGTTTTCAAATAAAATGATTTTTCATGTTTCTTTTTCTTTAGACTGCTGCAGTAAGAATGTCTTTTCCCCCTCATTTGAATCGTCCTCCCATGGGGATCCCAGCACTACCACCGGGGATCCCACCCCCGCAGTTCCCAGGATTTCCTCCACCTGTACCTCCAGGTAAGTTTGTTCATACTGTTTTTTTTTGTTGTTGAACTTGAACTTTTGTCTTTGTGATATTAATGTCAGGAAAATGTTAGATATGTGACCATATTAGTGAAGATGTCTGTCGGCATCATTCTGGAAATGTAGATGTCTCATTTTCCTATAACAGTAGGAAAAACTGCTATAGGAACTCATTTTTAATTCTGGCTGAGTATTAAACTCAACTGGAAAGTGTTTTTTTTTTTTTTTGAGATGCAGTTTCACTCTTGTTGCCCAGGCTGGAGTGCAATGGTGTGATCCTGCCTCACTGCAGCCTGCGCCTCCCGGGTTCAAGTGATTCTCCTGCCTCAGCCTCCAGGGTAGCTGGAATTACAGGAGCTCACCACCACACCCAGCTAATTTTTGTATTTTTAGTAGAAACAGGGTTTCAACATGTTGGTCAGGCTGGTCTTGAACTCCTGACCTTGTAATCATCCCACCTCCATCTCCCAAAGTGCTGGTATTACAGGTGTGAATCACCATGCCCAGCCAATAATTGCTGATTTTATGTAGTAACTTAAAATCCACTGATTTTACATAGTAATTTAGTTGTTCTATAACGGACCATAAATAGATGTAAGTTCTGCAGAAAGGCTCTAGCTGGCCCTTTGGAAAAAAATTTCTTTAAAAAAAATTTTGCTGAATGGAAATTGTATTGAGTAAATGTTGCAGAAAACTGAATAAAATTAGTTATTAGCCATCAAACACATTAATAGTTACAGGAGAAAAGTGATCTAGCAACTTTCATTTGGGCATTAGTTTTTCTCTTTGGTTCATATATCCTGATTTCCTTAATGTATTTATAGGCTCATAATGCAGATATGATTTTTAATTTTTTAATTTTTTTTTCTTCAGTAGCCCTATGGTCTAGCATTTGAAATTTTTTCGTTTTATTGAGACAGGATCTCTGTCTCCCTGGCTGGGGGTGCAGTGACACAACCATAACTTAATGCAGCCTCCATCTCCTGGGCTCAACTGATCCTCTTGCCTCAGCCTCCTGAGTAGCTGAGACTATAGATGTGTGCCACCATGCCTGAGTCAGATCCATTTTTTTGATATGACCATGATGCAAAGCCCAGGTATTCTAGAAATTAAAGGCTGGGCATGGTGGCTCATACCTGTAATCCCACCACTTTGGGAGACTGAGGCCAGAGGGTCTCTCAAACCCAGGAGTTCAAAACAAGAAGCCTGGACAACATAGGGAAGACCCTGTGTTGTGGGGAGGTAGGGGGTGAGAGTAAGCTTAATCACTTGTTTAGACTCAGAAAAGATGATTAATGAAAATATGTGTTTTAATTTTCTTACCAGTAGATTGGGTTTATAAAAAGATTTTAAATTTCTTTGATTTCCTTTTTTTTTTTTTTGAGAGAGTCTGTCAACTAAGCTGGAGTGCAGCGGAGCAATCACAGCTCACTGCAGCCTCTGCTTCCTGAGTTTAAGGGATTCTCCTGATTTAGTCGCCAGGCGCCAGGCTGGAGTGCAGTGGTGTGATCTCAGCTCACTGCAGCCTCTGCCTCCCGGGTTCAAGCAATTCTCCTGCCTCAGCCCCCCAAGTATCTGGGACTACAGGCACACGCCACTACGCCCAGCTAATTTTTGTATTTTTTAGTAGAGACAGGGTTTCGCCATGTTGGCTAGGATGGTCTCGATCTACTGACCTCGTGGTCTGCCTGCCTCAGCCTCCCAAAGTGCTGGGATTACAGGTGTGAGCCACTGTACCTGGCTGAGCTTGGGTAATTTTTGTATTTTTTGTAGAGATAGGGTTTTGCTGTGTTGGCTTAAGCGATCTGCCCATATTGGTTTCCCAAAGTGTTTGGATTACTGGTGAACTACTGTGTCCCTGACTCCCTGCCTTTTCTTTTTTAAATAAATAAGAGTTTTGCTGTGTTTCCTAGGCTAGAGTGCAGTGGTTATTCACAGGCATGATAATAGCACACTGTAGCCTTGAACTCCTGGGCTCAGGGATCCTTCTGCCTCAACTTCTAGAGTAGCTGTAACTACAATTATTATTATTTTGTGGAAGGAGTCTTGCACTTGTCACCCAGGCCAGAGTGCAGTGGTGTAATCTCAGCTCACTGCAGCTTCCGCCTCCCAGGTTCAAGTGATTCTCCTGCCTCAGCTTCCTGAGTAGCTGGGATTACAGGCATGTACCACTGTGCCTGGCAAATGTTTGTATTTTTAGTAGAAACGGTTTCACCGAGTTGGTCAGGCTAGTCTTGAATTCCTGACCTCAGATGATTTACCCATCCTGGCCTCTCAAAGTGCTGGGATTATAGGCATGAGCTACCGTGCCTGGCCCATGATTGTTTTCTATGAAAGAACCAGGAATGACAAGATTCTTCTTAGATTTCCACATATTTGATGCTTAAAACAACTTCCAAAGGATTTGTTTTTACTTTATTTGACAAAATTGTATATATTTATCGTGTACAACATTTTGAAATAACGGGTATGTTGTGGATTGAATTGAGCTAATTAATACATGATGTATTACTTTACTTTTTTTTTTGTAGAACACTCTAGATTTTAAGTATAGGTTTTCTGTTAGCATTTTTCAAGAATATGCATTGCTACTAACTGTTATCACAACGTTGTACAATGTGTTTTTACTTTTTTGTAGTCTTTTTTTTTCCCCCCTTTTTCTGGAGAACGGAGTCCTACTATTTATTGCCCAGGCAGGTCTCAATCTCTTGGGCTCAATCTAACTTCTCATCTCTGTTTCCCTAAAAGTTGGGATTATAGGTGTGAGCCACTGTGCCTGACTTTGTACTTTTAAAGGCTCTTTAATACCGTTGTTCACTCATAAATCAGTCTATATTTGTGAAAGGTTGGTTTTGAGGATCACTGAACCATACGAACCTGAATAAATAACTATCCAGAATTTTATGCTCCTTAAGTCAAAAGCATGTTGAGGCAGCATTTTGTTTTCCAAATAGTGTTTTTGTGTAAGTTTATATGGACCAACCTGATACCACATTCCTTTTGAAAATAAGGCAGTATCAGTATTTCATTTTCATTTGTCCTGTATTTCTACTTATGTTAATTATGAGTAAAGATACTTGTTTGGCATATAGTTGATGCAGAATGTAGTCATAAATAATCAGTGTGGTTTTTCTTGTCTTAGGGACCCCAATGATTCCTGTACCAATGAGCATTATGGCTCCTGCTCCAACTGTAAGTACAACTTAAAGGAGGAATCATGAGTTATGGTAGTGCTAGTGCTTTTAAGCTAAACAGCGTGATAAAACTTAGATAAATTATGAGTATTTAAAAGAATAACAAGGGCAGAATGAGAGCATATAGCATATGTCATTTATTGGAGTAAGTGTCATTTTCACTTAGGTGACATATATGTTATTTTCACATATAATATAGTTGCCCCTACGGTGTGCTTCCTAAGGGGATAATTCAGTGATTTTCCTGTTGCTCTCAAGATTCTTCATATACTTGTTACAGATTTCGGACTTTGGCTCTTCATTGCTTTCACATCTTGGTCCTGGGAGATGGGAGAAGGATGTGACATGTCTGATCTCTTTAAAGAACATAGGAATGATCCTTGTATTTCAGGCTTAAGGAAAGCTAGAGTTTAGGGGTGGAGCGGTTCTCCTGTTTTACCACTATTTATTCAGTGCCTACCGAGGGTTTTTGCTGAGTTGAGTGTCACATACAAAGATGTGTTTCTTCCCTGGAAAAGTTGGAAGTCATAAAGGGAAAATAAGATAGAAATAACTGATAAAAGGCAAAATATGGGGAGAGTGCTATGGGATATTTGAAAATTTTGCCAGAGAATTAGCATGAATAATTGAAATTTGCTTTTATATTGGTACTGAGTACAATTGTGAAAAAACTTCTGGATATATTTGATAATTTTAAATGTATTGTCTTTTTGGGGGAGGGGGATGGAGTTTCTCTCGTTTCCCAGGCTAGAGTACAGTGGCGTGGCTCACTGCAGCCTCCACCTCCCTGGTTCAAACGATTCCCCTACTTCAGCCTCCTGAGTAGCTGGGATTACAGGCGCATGCCACCACTCCAGCCTAATAATTTGTATTTTTAGTAGAGATGGGTTTCACCATGTTGGCCAGACTGGTCTTGAACTCCCAGCCTCAGGTGATCCACCCACCTCAGCCTCCCAAAGTGTTGGGATTACAGGCCTGAGCCACCACGGTAGGCCTAGGGCATAATTTTTAAATGTTTAAGACATAGGCCCAGCCATAGTCTCTACTAAAAATACAAAAAATAAGCCTGGTGTGGTGGAACACACCTATAATCCCAGTTACTTGGGAGGCTGAGGCAGGAGAATTGCTTGAACCCGGGAGGTGGAAGACTCCATTTCAAAAAATAAAAAACAAAAAGAAGGCCGGGTGTGGTGGCTCACCCCTGTAATCCCAGCACTTTGGGAGGCCGAGGCAGGTGGATCATGAGGTCAAGAGATCGAGACCATCCTGGTCAACATGGTGAAACCCCATCTCTGCTAAAAATACAAAAATTTAGCTGGGCATGCTGGTGCGTGCTTGTAATCCCAGCTACTCGGGAGGCTGAGGCAAGAGAATTGCCTGAACCCAGGAGGCGGAGGTTGCGGTGAGCCGAGATCGCGCCATTGCACTCCAGCCTAGGTAACGAGCGAAACTCTGTCTCAAAAAAAAAAAAAATAAAATAAAATAAAAATTACCTCTTAAAGTTTTCTTGGTTATTTTTGTTTCTTTTGTATGAAGAAAGGTAATCTAATAGTAGAAATATACTTGTCACAAATAAGTTTGCATTAACGAAATGTCCTATGTATTTTAGGTGTGTAAGCATATAGAGCTTAAATAATGTACTATATATATTTATTTAATCCTGAGGTTTTTAGCCTAATGTTAATTGTGGTAGGAAATTTAATTGCTGGATCAATTTTTATTCCCCTTTCTTCAGGTCCTAGTACCCACTGTGTCTATGGTTGGAAAGCATTTGGGTGCAAGAAAGGATCATCCAGGCTTAAAGGCTAAAGAAAATGATGAAAACTGTGGTCCCACTACTACTGTTTTTGTTGGTAACATTTCTGAGAAAGCCTCAGACATGCTTATAAGACAACTCTTAGCTGTAAGTTAAACTGTTTATTTTTCATGAAAAATTCTTTTATTGTTACATATTTCAAATGTAAGCAGAAGGATTTTCAGTGATTGCTTTTTATTTTAAAAAATTTCAATCCTGGCCGGGCGCAGTGGCTCACGCCTGTAATCCAGGCACTTTGGAGGCCAAGCTGAGTGGATCACCTGAGGTCAGGAGTTCAAGACCAGCCTGACCAACATGGTGAGACCCCCGTCTCTACTAAAAATACAAAAATTAGCCAGGTGTGGTGGCGTGCACCTGTAATCCCAGCTACTGGGGAGGCTCAAGCAGGAGAATCCCTTGAACCTGGGAGATGGAGGTTGCAGTGAGCTGAGGTCGTGCCACTGTACTCCACCCTGGGCGACAAAGTGGGACTCCATTTAAAAAAAAATAATAGGCCGGGCGTGGTGGCTCACGCCTGTAATCACAGCACTTTGGGAGGCCGAGGCGGGCTGATCACGAGGTCAAGAGATCGAGAGACCATACTGGCCAACATGGTGAAACCCCGTCTCTACTAAAAATACAAAAATTAGCTGGGCTTGGTGGCGTACACCTGTAGTCCCAGCTACTCAGGAGGCTAAGGCAGGAGAATTGCTTGAACCTGGGAGGTGGAGGTTGCAGTGAGCTGAGATTGTGCCACTGCACTCCAGCTTGGTGACAGAGAGAGAATCTGCCTCAAAAAAAAGAAATAATAATAATTATAACAAAAGACGAGTGTGCTGGTGCCCGCCTGTAGTCCCAGTTGTTCTATAATCTGAGGTGGGAGAATTGCTTGAGTCTAGGAGTTCAAGGCTGCAGTGAACTATGATGTTGCAATTGCACTCTAGCCCAAGCAAGAGAATTTCTAAAACAAAAAAAAAATACATGAAATTGATGTAATATTGTTAACTAATGCACATGTAGTTCATATTTAATTTTCCCAATAATGACCATAACATTAATAGTATTAGTTTTCGTCCATGATCCAGTGAAAGATTTCATTTATTTTTGAGACAGATTTGCTCTGTCACATAATCTAAATGTAGTGGTGTGATATTTGCTTACCACAAACTCTGCCTCCTTTATTCAAGTGATTCTCTTGCCTCAGCCTCCTGAGTAGCTGGGATTACAGACATGTGCCATGACACCTGGCTTATTTTTGTATTTTTTGTAGAGACGGGTTTCTCCACGTTGGCCAGACTTGTCTTGAACTCCTGCCCTCAAGTGAACTGCCTGCCTTGGCTTCCCAAAGTGTTGAGATTACAAGTGTGGGCCACCATACCTGGCTTGGGTTAATATTTTGAGACTGTGTGTGTCGTTTTCCCCAGCAACCTTAAACAATTATTTTAGCATTGGCTGATACCTTTTTAAGTTTTATTCTAAGCAGGAACAGTAATAAGTTGTTTACATTTGGTAAAAGATTCACTTTTTTTTAACCTTAGTTTTTAAGATCTTAATCTTGGTGATAAATGTAGATTATTAAATGAAATAATGCTGAATGATTGTGTATTTAAAAAATAAGGCCAGGCGCAGTGGCTTACGCCTGTAATCCCAGCACTTTGGGAGGCCGAGGCAGGCAGATCATGAGGTCAGGAATTTGAGACCACCCTGGCCAACATAGTGAAACCCCGTCTCTTAAAAAAAAAAAAAAGAAAAAAGAAACCCCGTCTCTACTAAAAATACAAAAATTACCCGGGCGTGGTTGTGGGCGCCTGTAATCCCAGCTATTTTGGAGGCTGAGGCAGTAGAGTGACTTGAACCTGGGAGGCGGAGGTTGTAGTGGCCTAAGATCGTGCCACTGCACTCCAGCCTGGGCGACAAAGTTAGACTTCGTCTCACACATGAAAAAAGAGGTTGGAAGAATGACTACATTCTGCACAGAGAGGACCTGCAAAGATGTCATTCTTCATCTGTATCCCAGAATCCTGTGTAGGTTCTCTGTAAGGACAAGGCCAGGGTTATCTCAACCTGTGGTTCACCTCATGAGTAGTTCAGTATGAGTCCTGCAATCCTGTCGTACTCTGGAGACATTGTTGCCTGCTCTCCTTATGCCCCTCTCTTTGAGATGCTGGGCAATTACTTTACACCATTCATGATTCTTGTTCCACAACTCTCATATTTAAGAAATTCCTATTCTCTTAGAAACCTGGATCTCCTGGGTGCTCTCTAAGTTTTAATTAACTGGTCTGAGGATGTTTCGGGTTTCTCGGTTTTGTAACTTCCATGACATTTTTGGTAATTTCAGTCTGAAGCCTGACTCCGTTTTTATTCATGAGTTTTCTCCTGGACTTCTTTTCCCTGCAGCCACAGGGCCTAATCCGGGGTCTGCAGAGAACTAGCACTTACTCTGCTCTAATGGAATTCTGGAAAGTCAGAAGGTGCCAGAGTGTAGAAATGTTTATTCCTGTCTGCTTCTGGAAGTCTCTGTTTTGCTATGTTACTACTGCTAATGTTGTCTTCCTGGGTGTATGTGAAAAGATTCTCATCACATATTCTCATAGAAGTGTAATTTCTGAGTCCTAGGGCATGCTTATCTTCAGCTTTACAAGATAATGCCACACCAATTATATTTTTGCAGCAGTGTCGTGTCCAAGTTTCTATTCTTATACCTCTTTTTTAATAGTTGGTGTTTATTTAGACTTTTACATTGTGTTGTGAAATGATACCTCATTCCTATTTCAATATGCTTTTTGTTACTGTTCTTCCTTCATAATTTTGGTATTATCTGGTGACATGTTATGGCAGCTGAGGCCTAAAATGTTAAAGGCAGAGGTCTCCCCCAGCTTGTAACAGGTGTTACAAGGTGGCAAAATTGTTAATAAGTGTTATTATGTAAATAGTTTGGGCAGAACTAGGTCATGTGCTTTGATTGCATTTTCTTTTCTTTTTTGAGATGGAATCTCACTCTTAACCAGGCTGGAGTGCAATGGCGTGATCTCAGCTCACTGCAACATCTACTTCCTGGGTTCACGTGATTGTTCTGCCTCATCCTGAGTAGCTGGGATTATGGGGCGCCTGCCACCACGCCTGGCTAATTTTTGTATTTTCAGTAGAGAGGGTTTTACCATGTTTGCCAGAATGGTCTGGAACTCCTGACTTCAAGTGATGTGCCCCTTCATCCTCCCAAAATGCTGGGATTGCATGGGTGATCCACTGTGCCTGGCCCATTTTCTTATTTTAATTTTTAATTAATTAGTTGTATATGGTTTTGAAACAGGGTCCTTGCTCTTTTGCACAGGCTGGAGTGCAGTGGTGCAATCATGGCTGGGCTCAAGTGATCCTCCCACCTCAGCCATTTGAGTAGCTGGAACTACAGGTGTGCATCATCACACCTTGCTAATTTTTTGTTGTTGTTGTTTAAATCTTCTGTAGAGATAGGGCCTTGCCATCTTGCCCCAGGCTGATCTCAGACTCCTGGGCTCAAGACAGAGTCACACTCTTGCACAGTCTGGAGTGTACTGGCGTGACCTCTGCTCACTGCAACCTCCACCTCCTGGATTCCTATGATTCTTCTGCCTAAGTCTCCTGAGTAGTGAGATTACAGGCACCCGCCACCATGTCCAGATAATTTTTGTATTTTTTAGAAGAGACGGGGTTACACTATGTTGGTATCAAACTCCTGACCTCAAGTGATCCACCTGCCTTGGCTTCCACAGTGCTGGGATTACTGGCATGAGCCACTGCCGCCAGCCAGTTTCCCTTCTTTTCTAGAGCGTCTCATGTGTTCTGGTTCCTCTAAGTCTACTTTTATCGTTGGATTTATTCTGTCTTTTCTAGTATTCCTTTATTGCTCTCCTGTGTTGGATGGTTTGGATCCTATGTCTTGCTTGTGTTGACACACAGTAGCTTCCTGTTATATGACAATGATACATATAACAGGATATATAACATCCTATTATATGGCGATGATATGATGTATATGGGTATGTGGTTGGTAACTTTTCTGAATCTGAAGTGCTTTTTATTTTGATTATTCATATGATCAGTAGTTTACTTGGATATAGAATTCTATGTTGAAGCTTATCTTCCTCACATTGAAGGTGTTGCATCATTGTGTTACAGCATCTAATGATGATTTTTAGAAGTATTGGATCATTCTGAAATTTTTTTTTTTTTTTTTGAGACGGACTCTCCCTCTTTCGCCAGGCTGGAGGTACAGTGGCATGATCTCGGTTCACTGCAACCTCTGGCTCCAGGGTTCAAGCGATTCTCCTGCCTCAGCCTCCTGAGTAGCTAGGACTATAGGCGTGCACCACCATGCCCAACTGAATTTTGTATTTTTAGTATAGACGAGGTTTCACCATGTTGGCCAGGCTGGTTTCTTACTGTTTTGTACTGGTTCTTGGGATTTGCCCTCAACTTTACCTTCCAGACTTCAATCGATTTATGTATGTATGTATGTATGTATGTATGTATGTATGTATGTATTTATTTATTAATTTAGAGATGGAGTCTCGCTTTGTTGCCCAGGCTGGAGTGCAGTGGTGCGGTCTTGGCTCACTATAACCTCCACTTCCCAGATTCAAGCAATTCTCCTGCCTCAGCCTCCTGAGTAGCAGGGATTACAGGTGTGCACCATCATGCCCAGCTAATTTTTTTGTATTTTTAGGAGAGTCAGGAGAGTCAGGGTTTCACCATGTTGGTGAGGCTAGTCTCAAACTCCTGACCTCATGATCCACCCGCCTCAGCCTCCCAAAGTGTTGGGATTATAGGCTTGAGCCACCACACCCGGCAGAATACTTATTTTTAATGCCATGTTTCAAGTTTCCGATTTCTATTGTTCTCTGAAGATTTCTCACCTACACCTTCCCCTGTCTTTTTTTAACTGGGTGACACCTTATTTATTTATTTTTTTGAGACAGAGTCTGGTTCTGTTGCTCAGGCTAGAGTGCGGCTGCATGATTACAGCTCACTGCAGCCTGGATTTCCTGGGCTCAAGCCATCCATCAGCTTCAGACTCCTGAGTAGCTGGGACCACTGGTGTGTGCCACCACACCTGGCTATTTTTTTATTTTTGTAGACATGATGTCTCCCCATGTTCCCAGGCTGGTCTTGAACTCCTGGGCTCAAGCAGTCCTTCCACTTCAGCCTCCCAAAGTGTTGGGATTTCAGACGTGACCCACGCCTGGCTGCTTTTATTTTTAAAGTATAATAGTGTCCCATGGTTTAAATAACCTGCCCTCCTTCACGTTTTGGAATATTTCTCTTTATATTACAAAGTATTGTTCTTAAAGTCTTGCTGTGTATCTGCATTTTCTTTTCCCAAGTTATTTTTGCATACCATATCAACCGTTTTCCCACGTTAAAAATCCTCTATAAATTTATATATGTTGTTTCAAAACATTTCTTTATAGGTTCTTTGTAATATTTACTTGAATTTATTATAGTTTTAAGCATTCTAATTTTAGGCACCTAGGCTTATGTATTTATTTTGGTAGTATATGTAGTGATGCAAAACTTCTACTTTATTAAAAGGTAAAGAATTTTCTGCGAATGAAGAATCAGCAAGAATTTATATTTTTCTTAAAATGATGTGTTGTCCATTTCTTTCATGTGATAAATTTGAGGAAATTGGGGAAATTTTCACAAATGTAGTTGCTGGTTTTTTTCTTTTATGTTTTTTTCCCCCTAGTAGAAATATAATTTTGCTTTTACATTAAAAATTATTTTGTTAAATGGTAGCAATCTTTTTGTTTTGTTTTCTTTTTAAGAAATGTGGTTTGGTTTTGAGCTGGAAGAGAGTACAAGGTGCTTCCGGAAAACTTCAAGGTAGGTCATTTTTTTCCTTATTTGTTGAAATCATTTTAACCTGTGTGCTTAAATCACTTTGCATGACTTACTCTCATTGTCTTTAACAGTAAGACTTATTAGCATTCTTTATCTTCTTTTTTATTGAAATAGGATTAAAAGGCAGTTTGGGAAAGTATTGGCTGAGAGTTAAGATCAGAAGAAGAAGGAAAAAGGTAACAGGAAGGAGACAGGAAAGGAAAAAATTAAAATTGCTCGATTTAACTGATTTCTCGTACTTCCAAAAGTCTCTTTTGTCTCAAGAAATGACTGTGTGAACTAGGTGGAACAATTAGAACTTAGTAAGGGAGGAGAAGAAGAAGAGACAATCGTGGCCTGTTGACTTTTTTTTTTTTTCTGGAGACAGAGTCTCTCTCACCCAGGCTGGAGTGTAGTGGTGCCATCTTGGCTCATGCAACCTCTGCCTCCCAGGTTCAAGAGAACCCTCCTGCCACAACCTCACAAAGTGCTGGGATTACAGGTGTGAGCCACTGCTCCCAGCCATGGCCTGTTAACTTTTGAAGGCAATCTGTACTTTTCATGGCTAATTGTGTTTCAACGGTACTCTTACTCGTTTCTTCCTCTTTATATTGGTTGAAAGCAAATCTGAAGCATCCCATGAGTTTCTATGGCTTTTTTTTTTGAGATGAAGTTTAGCTCTGTCACCCAGGCTGGAATGCAGTGGCACCATCTTGCCTTACTGCAGCTTTTGTCTCCCAGGTGCAAGTGATTCTCCTGCCTCAGCCTCCTGAGTAGCTGGGATTACAGGCATGCACCTCCAGGGCTGGCTAATTTTGTATTATTAGTAGAGGCAGGGTTTTACCATATTGGCCAGGCTGGCCTCTAACTTGACCTGAAGTGATCAGCCCACCTTGGCCTCTCACAGTGCTGGGATTACAGGTGTGAGCCAATGTGCTGGGCCTTCACATGAATTTCTTTGTAAATATTTTAGCGTGTGTCTCTTAGAGATAAGGGCTTTTAAAAAACATATCTAAAATATTAGCTATTATAATTCTAAGACCTAAACAAAATTATAAACGAACTATTTTTTTTTTTTTTCTTTTGAGACAGTCTCGCTCTGTCACACGGGCTGAGAGTGTAGCGGCATGATCTTTCCTCACTACAGCCTCCACCTCCCAGGTTCAGACAGTTCTCCTGTCTCAGCCTCCTAGGAAGCTGGGACTATAGATGTGTGCCACCATGTCTAGCTAACTTTTGTAAAGGTGAGGTTTTGCCATGTTGGCCAGACTGGTCTTGAACTTCTGACCTCAGGTAATTCACCTGCCTTGGCCTCCCAAAGTGACCTATCATGCCTGGCCTCTTTTTCTTTTTATCATTAAATATTCAGCCAGTATTAGAAGTCTCGTGTCAAATGTCTCAAATGTCAGTTTTTTTTTCTTTTTTCTTTCTTCTTTTTTTTTTTTTGAGACAGCGTCTTACTCTATTTCTCAGGCTGGAGTGCAGTGGCGTGACCTCAGCTCACTGCAACCTCCACCTCCCAGGTTCAAGCAATTTTCCTGCCTCTGCCTCCATGGTAGCTGGGATTGTAGGCATCTGCCACTACGCCTGGCTAATTTTTGTCTGTTTAGTAGAGTTGGGGTTTCACCATGTTTGTCAGGTTGGTCTCGAACTCTTGACCTCAGATGATCCACTTACCTCAATGCTGGGATTACAGGCGTGAGCCTATATGAGACCTATGCCTGGTCTCAAATGTCAATTTTTTAAATGGTTCATTTGATTCAGGATCTATATGAAGTTCACACATTGCAACTAGTTGGCAATTTAAGTCCCTTAATATTTTATTATTAGCCCTATCTTCTAACCAACTGAACTAACTGGCCATACTTTTAATATTTTAAATTATTCTATTTCTTATTTTCGTTGCCGTTTATTTGTTGAAGAAACTGGGTCATTTGTGCAGCAGCATTTGTTAAGTTGAGTTTTGCCAAATGCTGCTCCAGTAGTATAATTTGCCATGAATTTGACCTCTGTATTTTCTGTAACTGGTTAGTATTTGAAACTTGACATGTGCTTTTATTCTAGCATATCATAGCAAGAATACTATAAAGTTAGTATTTTTCCATCAGGGGACACATGTGAGATTGTCTTTTTTGTGTATGTAATAGCATCAGTGTTGCCAGTGCCTAGGTTGATGAATTCATTGGGAAGTAATTAGTAGTCTGTTTTGAAGAATTCTGTCATTCTTTCACTGAGGAACAACAAATCTTCATATGTTAACAGAATGCTTCTCTATGGAGAAACTTGCCCCTGCATCTATTTGGTTACTTCGAGGTATTTTTGTTGTTGAGACTGAGTTTGTTGCCCCTGTTGCCCAGCCTGGAGTGCAGTGGCGCAGTCTCAGCTCACTGTGACTTCAGCCTCCTGGAGTGATTCTCCTGCCTCAGCCTCCCAAATAGCTGGGATTACAGGCGCTCACCACCACACCCGGCTAATTTTTTGTACTTTTAGCAGAGGCAGGATTTCGCTATGTTTGCCAGTCTAGTCTTGAACGCCTGACCTCTCAGGTGATCCACCCACCCTGGCCTCCCAAAGCTCTGGGATTATAGGCTTGAGCCACCACACCCAGCATAGAGGCATATTTAACAGGAAAGGCAGGGTAAATGCCCTGACTTTCTTTAAGTAATGAGTTGGTATCTTCAGCATTTTCTAACAATGACTGATCTTCTTTTTTCTTTTAAATTACTGTGAACTTATGAATTGAAGCATATTTAATGTTACTGTGTTTGATATGGATTCATTGTAGTTATTATCACCATTAAAGCTTAACTTAAAATTGTCTCTGCACTTTACATCTCCAGTGGTTTTGACATGACCCTAAGTGCCTTTGACAGCTTCTTTGTTATCTGGTTTGACAAGTTGTTGTAAGCTCCTCTAGTATAATAGTTTTTCTGCCCCAGATTTAGAATCAGCCATTTCTCCAGGAGAGATTGTTTTGAAGATCATGGTCTGGGCACTAGGTATACTCATTGTAACAGTGGTTTGGTATTTGCTTTTGGGTTTTTCCAGTGCACACTAATTCAGATTCAGGACTAAAAGATTTTTTTTTTTTATTTAACCTGTTCTGTCATCTCCTTTTTCCTCACACTGAGTTGCCTGAGTTTCAAGGCCATTGGCGATAATAGAATATTAAATAATTGCTGAGTTGCTTTATTTCACATTGCACATAGAACAGTTTCACACTAGTAACATTGACACTATCATCAGAAATATGATCATTTAAAGTTACTTTTTTTTTTTAGACAGGGACTCGCTGTTACCCAGGCTGCAGTGCAGTGGCGTGATCTCAGCTTACTGCAACCTCCGCCTCCCTGGTTCAAGAAGTTCTCCTGCCTCAGTCTCCCTAGTAGCTGGGACTAGAGGCATGCGCCTGTAGTATTAGTAGAGATGAGGTTTCTCCATGTTGGACAGGCTGGTCTCAAACTCCTGACCTCAGGTGATCCGCCTGCCTCTGCCTCCCAAAGTGTTGGGATTACAGGTGTGAGCCACCACGCCTAGCCTAAAAGTACTTTTTTGAGGGGCATATCTGTTTGTCTTTATAGTATATCACACTGAAAATGTTGTAGTCAAATTTACTATTTTAATATCGGTAGTCCTTTTCTGTGTCATGTCATTAACTGTATATTTCAGTTTATTTGATTTTATTTTCAGTGTTTTTGGTTGCTCTTCTTAGATTTACTATCTCTGTTAAAGTCGTCTTAATAGTGAGATTGACTAGTTATAAAAGGAAATAGATATAAGCAAAACAGACTGATAACTAGGATGGATACAAGATCACTAATTCTGTAATTTAACATCTCAGAGGTGAAAAGTGTGTTATGTTCCAGCAGTCTGTTCTTATTTGTGGCTATTTGGAAGTCTAAATAGGGTGAATTTATGAAACGATTGATTCCTTTTAATAATGAAATTTGGCCGGGCCTGGTGGCTTACGCCTGTAATCGCAGCACTTTGGGAGGCCGAGGCGGGTGGATCACGAGGTCAAGAGATCGAGACCATCCTGATCAACATTGTGAAACCCTTTCTCTACTAAAAACACAAAAAAATTAGCTGGGCATGGTGGTGCGTGCCTGTAATCCACTCAGGAGGCTGAGGCAGGAGAATTGCCTGAACCCAGGAGGCGGAGGTTGTGGTGAGCCGAGATGGCACCATTGCACTCCAGCCTGGGTAACAAGAGCGAAACTCCGTCTCAAAAAAAAAAAAAAAAAAATAATAATAATAATGAAATTCACTGATTCTGCTAAATAGTTTATCAGAGCTTCTAATGGGTAGCAATTTTTCTGATTTGAATTTTTCTTCTCTGTTTTTCTCTTTTCTTCCTCCCCTTTGGTTGTTTGAGGGTACTAAAAGTGAAATGGTTATCAAAGGGAACTGGTAGACAGGGTGGAATGATTAATTGAATGGTCTGTATTATAACATTTGGACTCTAGTGTAGACAGGGTGGAATGATGAATTGAATGGTCTGTATTGTAACATTTGGACTCTAGTGATTCTGATCTTCCGTAATTTCTTTTTTTTTTTCCTGCAGCCCCAGCTGTTGTATGTAATTTCTTTTTCTTTTGTAAGTGGATTGATACTTCACTAATTCTTTCCATCCATTGCTAGCTTTCGGATTCTGTGAGTACAAGGAGCCAGAATCTACTCTCCGTGCACTCAGATTATTACATGACCTGCAAATTGGAGAGAAAAAGCTACTCGTTAAAGTTGATGCAAAGACCAAGGCACAGCTGGATGAATGGAAAGCAAAGAAGAAAGCTTCTAATGGGGTATGTTTTCTGTTGTGTTATCTTTTCTTTTTTTTTTAAAATATAAAGATGAGGTTTCAACATGTTGGTCAGGATGGTCTTGAACTCCTGACCTCAGGTGATCCGCCTGCCTTGGCCTCCAAAGTGCTTGGATTATAGGCGTGAGCCACCACGCCTGGCCTGTGTTATCTTTTCTAGGCCGACTTGTGCTCTTTCAGTGTAATGCTTTTCATTATAAATGAATCTAATGTGGGGCTTCACAAGATGATCATGTATGTGCTTGTGGCTTAATTGCAGGAGGGTATTTTATAGTTTGTCGTTATTTGAAGTCTTATCTACCCATAGAGGGTGGATGACTGTTGGTTTGCTTGTTCCAGGTTGGGATGAAAGTTGTAAGGGAGGCTGGACAAGGTTAATTTGCCAGAGAAAACACTGGTACAGACTATTCCAAACAGAGCTAATTCATTAAGGCAGCTTTGTAAGTAAGTACAAACTATATTTCAACCTCCACAGTTTTTTTTTTTTTGTTTTTTTTAAATAAAAGTTGGGGTTTCGCCATGTTGGTCAGGCTGGTCTTGAACTCCCGACCTCAGGTGATCCACCCACCTGGGCCTCCAAAGTGCTTGGATTACAGGTGTGAGCCACCACGCCTGGCCTCAACCTACACAATTTTTATTAGTTGCCCTCTCTTTTAGAAGTACACCGATTCTAAAATGAATGAAAGTCTGATTACTTGCCTTAAGCTGGGGGGCTTTATTCAAGCTATGCTAAGTGAAGCTAAAATAAAGGAAATTGTTGTATGTTGTATTGTAATGTATACATTATTACCCCCTCTCAACAAAGTGAAACATAACTAAAACGAGTATATATTTCCTTTATTTCTCTTCTTAGTTCGTTTTTGGCATCTCATGCTGAACCAATCTAAAATAGATTTATTATTACCTTCGCCCAACGCAGACAAAACCAGAAAATCGCTGTCATCAGATTTTTATTATCTTTCAAAATAGAAACAGCTTTCCACTGGGTGCAGTGGCTCACACCTGTAATCCCAGCACTTGGGGAGGCAGAGGTGGGTGGATCACTGGAGTTTGAGATGGAGTCGTACTTTCTTGCTCAGGCTGGAGTGCAGTGACCTCCTGGGTTAAAGTGATTGTCCTGCCTCAGTCGCTCAAGTAGCTGGGATTACAGGCACCTGCCACCATGCCCAGCTACTGATCTGCCTGCCTCGGCCTCCCAAAGTTCTGGAATCACAGGCCTGAGCCACCGTGCCCAGCCAGCGTTGCCTGTATTTCTAAAACATAAGTATAATTTTATCAAACTTTTGCTTCTTATGTGAGACCCATCCTTAATGGTTTTGGATTTCTTACAGAATAAACCCTCCTATCCTCTCATCCCCACTTTTTTTTTTTTTGAGACAGTCTTGCTCTGTTGCCCAGGCCAGAGTGCAGTGGCGAAAGCTTGCCTCATTGTAACCTCTACCTCCTGAGTTCAAGCGAGTCTCCTGCTTTGGCCTCCCGAGTAGCTGGGATTATAGCCGCCACCATGCCCGGCTAATTTTTGTGTTTTTAGTAGAGACGGGATTTCTCCATGTTACCTAGGCTGGTCTGGAACTCCTGACCTCAGGTATTCTCCAGCTTTGGCCTCCCAAAGTGCTGGAATTACAGGCGTGAGTCACTGTGCCCGACCATAAAGCCTGTATTTTTAGGATGACATTCAAGGCTTGCTCCAGTCCACCTTTCTAGCTTCCTTCTTCCCTGCCTCTGCACATACTACTGCATGTACCCCTACAGTCTTCCTTTTTGCTTTGCTGGCATCTCATGTCTTTGTTGCCTATCCAAGCTCCCTGTTGAAATTCTATCCATACTTATAATTAACATGTCCCTTGATTCATATAGACTTTGTCGTTTCCTCTTAGATAGAATTAAGTCCTTTGTTCCCATATAAAGCAGATTTTTATAGCTGAATGTGTCTGCTTTTTAGTGTATATTGTTTATATCTCTCTCTTTCACAGCCCCTTGTAACCCTTCTCATTCCCATATCCTCTTTCAACCCCCATCTCTGATTACAAATAGAAAGGGTGATAAGTTTGGGGGGCTGTCTCTTTAATCTTGGACCTCCACAGCACCTAGTATAGTGTCTTGACTAAAGCAAGGATGGAATTTACGTTTATTAACAGTTGCAGTTATGTTGCTTATCTGTGAGTCTTACTGTCCTTGTCCTCACCCTGCTTCATAAGGAAATTATATTTTATTTCAAATCAGCAATATTGCCTGTCACATTACTAAAACTTCAAAACCCAGAAATATTTGCAATAAGAATTTTCAGGTTTGCCTTGTTGTGATAACTGTATACTATTTGAAAGTATGGATTTAATATCTTCAAAGTGTTCCAATTTGCTAGGACTCGCTGTTTTCTTGTGTTTAGTCTTTAGTTTGTGAAGTCATTGAGGTTGTAGCATTTGCAAATGTTATACTTTTTCTGAAAATGAAATCACTGTAATACGTATTTTTACAAATAAGTGCACAATTGTGACTTTGCATTTCTTGCTTGCTTGCTTGCTTTTTTGCATGGGATTTGTGGCATGATCTCTGCTCACTGCAACCTCCTATTCCCAGGCTCCAGTGATTTTCTGCCTCAGCTGGATCTACAGGTGTGCACCACCATACCTGGCTGAGTTTTGTATTTTTTATTGAGATGGGGTTTCACAGTGTTGTCCAGGCTGGCGTTGAACTCCTGGGCTTAAGTGATCCACCTACCTCAACCATCCAAAGTGCTGCGATTAGAGGCAGGAGCCACTGTACCCAGCCTGCGTTTCTTGTATAATCAACATTAGCCAGAGTAACCATACTTTAAATCTGTTGATCTTCAAGAAAAGCAATGTGTGACCAGGTGTGGTGGCTCACACCTTTAATCCCAGCACTTTGGGAGTCTGAGGTTGGAGGATCACCTGAGGTCAGGAGTTTGAGACCAGTGTGGCCAACATGTTGAAACCCTGTCTCTACTAAAAAAGGAAATACAAAAATTAGCTGGATGTGGTGGTGTCCACCTATAATCCCAGCTACTTGGGAGGCTGAGGCAGGAGAATCACTTGAACCCAGAAGGTGCAGGTTACAGTGAGCTGAGATTGTACCACTGCACTCTAACCTTGGTTACGGAGTGAGACTCTGTCTTAAAAAAAAGAAAAAGCTAAGCAGCATGCAGTAAAATCACATAGAATAATTATTTTCAGTAAAATGAAATTAAAATGATTGTCAGATATCACATATGATTTATTATGTGTTTGTTATATGTGTATTGCTAGGTGCCTTTTGGCATCGTGCCTAGAGGTACTTGAAGTCATAGGATAAACATGGCATATTTTCCTAGAGTGTCAATTTTACTCAACAGTATAGGTTAAAAAACCATTCTGTCTGATGTAAAAAATTTTTTTCAAATAACTTAGGCAAATATTACTATATAGTGGAGTAGATTAGAGATTTACCATGTTTTTGTTTTGTTTTTTTAAGGGTAGAGGGGCATGGAGGGAGGGAAGAAAGCCCGAGAGTGAGAGATTGGAGGGACAGGGCTGGGGGTAGGAGGGAAGATGGTAGGAACGAGACTGGTGGCCACCGCCACCCTGATTTTTCTTTCTTTCTTTCTTTTTTCTTGAGACAGAGTTATGCTCTTGTTGCCCAGGCTGGAGTGCAGTGGAGCAATCTTGGCTCACAGCCACCTCCCTCTTTTGGTTTCAGCCAATTCTCCTGCCTCAGCCTTCCAAGTAGCTGGAATTACAGGCATCTGCCACCACACCTGGCTAATTTTGTATTTTTAGTAGAGTTAGTGTTTCTCCATGTTGGTCAAGCTGGTCTCAAACTCCCGACATCAGGTGATCCTCCTGCCTTGGCCTCCTAAAGTGCTGGTATTATAGGCGTGAGCCACCATGCCAGCCATGCTTTTTCAATATAAAAATATGACATGGTGATTGTTTTTTATTCTTGTTCATTGATTAGTTGGAGAAGTTTAGAAAGCTGTTACTTAAGTAGATAGAGGATAGGAGAATGAGACATTCTCCTTTGTGTTGCTTTTTTTAGGCATTTTCCTCTGAGGCAGAAGAGAAAACAATTAGTTCCATATTTCTCATTGACTTAAAAGGAAACATGAGTATGTCTAGGAGAGCAACATATTTTTCATGATCCAGTATTTCCTTTTTAACTTTTTTTTGTCTTTTTTTTTTCCTTTTTATCTGAATTCCTTCCTCATGAATTTTATTTCTTTTTTTTAATGAGACGGGGGTCTTGCTATGTTGCCCAGGTTGGTGTTGAACTCCTGGGCTCAAGCAGTTCTGCTTTGCCCTCCCAAAGTGCTGGGTTTACAGGCATGAGCCACTGGGCCCAGCAGATTCAGAATTTTAAGAGGAATTCTGGGCATGTGTAAGGTGCCTTGTCAAACAACTTGACCTGAGCATTTTAATTTAGGTTTTGCAGAATTTGTAGGAGTAACTTTCTCTCCCTCTTTTTTTTTTTTTTTTGAGACAGTCTTGTTTTGTCGCCAGGTGCCAGGCTGGAGTGCAGTCAAGCAATCTTGGCTCACTGCAACCTCCACCTCCCAGGTGCAAGCAATTCCCCTGCCTCAGCCTCCCAAGTAGCTGGGACTGCAGGAGGAGTAACTTTTTATTTTTCAGTTTCTTATTGGCCTTTAGTAGTAGAAGTATTCAGTGTAAGGTGACCATGCTGATTTAGTTCATATCTTATTGCTTTCTGGCTGTCCAGCAAAATCCCTGTAGGAGATAGTATAACTGCTTGTGTGTTACAAGTCATGGTTGTTAACCATATATTCAAGAATGGACATTGACAAGTGCAGGAAACAGGTATTTTCTGAAAGAATCTTTTAATAGAGGACAGCTGCTCCAGGTAAACATCTTTGTCTGGAAATTAGTCTGGTTGAGTCTACATTTTCTCAAAACAAAGAACTCTGCATTTGCTTGAGGTTTTTTTTTTTTTTTTTTTTTTTTGAGATGGAGTTTCACTCTGGTTACCCAGGCTGGAGTGCAATGGCATGATCTCGGGTCACCGCAACCTCCACCTTCTGGGTTCAAGCAATTCTCCTACCTCAGCCTCCCGAGTAGCTGGGACTACAGGCACGCACCACCACACCCAGCTAATTTTTGTATTTTTAGTAGAGATGGGGCTTCACCTTGTTGACCAGGATGGTCTCGATCTCTTGACCTCGTGATCCACCCACCTTGGCCTCCCAAAGTGCTGGGATTACAGGCTTGAGCCACCGTGCCTGGCCTATTTTTTTTTTTTTTTTTTTTTTTTGTATTTTTACTAGAGAAGGGGTTTCACCATGTTGGCCAAGCTAGTTTTAAAAACTCCTGATGTCAGGTGAACCACCCACCTCGGACTCCCTGTAATCTCTGGGATTACAGGTGTACCCAGCCATCTGGTTTCTGAAGTACAAGGCAAAAAATAGGAAATCTGAAAATCATATATGGCCTATGCCCCCTAGGATACAGCTTTAGATGAAACTTGCCAGTCTGTGGAGTGGTCTTTCTAACCTGATTATCTACCATGATCGGGTTATTTTTTGTTTCTTTTTTGTTTTTGTTTTTGAGATAGTATCTTGTTGCCCTGGCTGGAGTGCAGTGGCATGATCTCGGCTGACTGCAACCTCTGCCCCCCAGGTTCAAGCAATTATCCTGCCTCAGCCTCCTGAGTAGCTGGGACTATAGGTACATGCCACCACGCGTGGCTAATTTTTGTATTTTAGTAGAGATGGGGTTTCACCATGTTGCCCAGGCTGGTTGAGAACTGAGCTCAGACAGTCTGCCTACTTGGGTTTCCCACAGTGCTGGGATTACAGGCATGAGCCACTGCACCCAGCCTATTTTTGCTTTTTTTTGGTTTGTTTGTTTAATATTAGTAATCAGTTAAGTGTTGGGTTAATAAACTTTTCTTCTAAAAATGTGAATGAGTTAATTCCAAATGCTTTCTAATTCAGGTAAAATAGCCATATTGATAATTAAATTTTCATTTACAGTAGAAACAAAAATCTAGGGGCTATAAGGATTTTTATATAAGTAGGCCTTTGGAATTATAACTGTACTTTTATCCCTGTATTTAGAAAAGTGTAGAGATGTGAATGGCTGAGGGAAAGGAATTCAGAATATAGCGGACATGCTAACAACAGACCGGCTGCTTTGTAATAAGGTGTGTTTTTATATATTGAGTTTAGGTCTCAACATGCAGGTGTTATGGTTTGAAATAACCCTGTATGCTTCAAGATAGGAGGTTTCAGTGCCAGGGTTCTGGAGGGCCAGCTCATTTAAAACCTTCAGAGAAGCAATTATTTTTATATGTTTGTTAAGACAGAATCTTGCTCTGTCACACAGGCTGGCAGTGCAGTGGTAATCATAGTTCACTGCAGCCTTGAATTCCTGGGCTCAAGTGATCCTCCCACCTCAGCCTCTCTAGTAGCTGGGACTACAGGTGTGAGCCACCACACTCAGCTAGTTATTTTATTTTTATTTTTTACTAGAGACAAGGGCTTGCTGTGTTGCCTAGGGTGGTCTTAAACTCCTGGCCTGAAGCGATCTGCTTGTCATGGCCTCCCAAAGTGTTGGAATTACAGTTGGGAGTCAGTGCACTTGGCCCACAATATAATAACAAAGGAACATAACACCATAATTGTAGCTTGCTATATTGTTGGTAAATAATTCTAATAGTTCTCATTATAGTCCTTGGGTAAATCATCTCCTTTATCCAAGATGCTAAGTACAAAGTTCACTACAAAGAAGATTGGATGAAGAGACAGGTTTGAGAAAGTAAGAAACTTAGAGGGGTTAGTTTATAATAACACATAATGCCTTACATTGAAGTTATTTGTGTCATCCATAACCCATCTCTTACTCTGTAGTGGTATAGCTTGAGGAGAAGAGAGCATTTTTCAGTTTGAATTTTATTCCATCTAAGTGCAGGCTCTTTCTCACAGTATGCTCTTAAGAATTTGTTGAGCAGCAGGCCGGGCGCGATGGATCATGCCTGTAATCCCAGCACTTTGGGAGGCCGAGGCGGGTGGATCACGAGGTCAAGAGATCGAGACCATCCTGGTTAACATGGTGAAACCCCGTCTCTACTAAAAATACACAAAAATTAGCTGGGCATGATGACGCATGCCTGTAATCCCAGCTACTCAGCAGGCTGAGGCAGGAGAATTGCCTTGAGCCCAGGAGGCAGAGATTGCGGTGAGCTGAGATCGCGCCATTACACTCCAGCCTGGGTAACAAGAGCGAAACTCTGTCTCAAAAAAAAAAAAAAAAAGAATTTGTTGAGCAAATTAATTTAAGAAATAAATGTTTGTTGAATATATATCCATTAATACAGCTTTTAAATGCTGGTGGTCAAGTTATAAAGTTACTGCTAAGTTAAATTGTTAAGGAGTCACAAGGCATGAAACTCACCTTGAGTAGAGTTGCATGCATTATGACCAAGAGCTAGGCATGTATGTGCATGCGCATAAACATGGTTCTTGTAGTATCTGAAAATGTGCACAGTGTATGTTTACCAAGTAAGTTGTTAAAACCTTTGGGGCATGCACAAGAATTAGTAGCACATTAGAAGCCAATAATTTTTCCCCACAAAGAGGGAACAATCTAGACTTCTTAGAGAATTATTAATAAAGTCCTACAAATAGTTTCTTTGGTTCCTTCTTAATGTTGTAAGCGTATAGTTTCTATAAGTGGTATTAATGCACTATAAGAACTTACAGAAGGCAAATGGGAAGTAAGCTATCATTTCAGCCCCTAAACTCCCAATTCTTGCGTTTTTGTATATTTAGCAATCTGATGTTTTTGTTTGTTTAGCCTACATGTAATTTTGCTTATTCTCTGCAGTAGCTATCACAATGTATTTAAAATTGTATTTTGCTTTTACTGCATAACTGAATTTTCTACTGATTCATATATATTTAAAAGAATTAACTATTACATACAGTTATTTAGTAATTGCTATTTGTGTATCTGTTGAGCAGAACAGTCTGAAAAATTGTGAATGCTTTGCTAATGTGTTGTATAGTGTGCTAGTCCTGAAATTTAAGGGCCAGGGTGTTTTAGCTATTAAGAAAGAAAATGAAAATGAACTAGTATCTCAGGAAAACTGAAATAAAATAAATGAAGCTTAGTTTTCTGATGTTAAGAACAAAACCATCTCCATGTTTAATAGGACTACAGAGATGTTTTTGAGAAAACATGTTTGTTTATTAACTCTTCTTGTAGAACGATTTTTATTTTCCTGCTTGATTTTTCTTTCCCCTGAATTTGCTGTTTTGTTTTAGAATGCAAGGCCAGAAACTGTCACTAATGATGATGAGGAAGCCTTGGATGAAGAAACAAAGAGGAGAGATCAGATGATTAAAGGGGCCATTGAAGTTTTAATACGTGAATACTCCAGTGAGCTAAATGCCCCCTCACAGGAATCTGATTCTCACCCCAGGAAGAAGAAGAAGGAAAAGAAGGAGGACGTATGTGTTCTGACAACATATCATTTCTACAGTTTGTTTTTTATGATACCACTCTTAAGCCCTGATCCATGTCAGAATTTGAAGGGAAAGCAGAATAAATAGGATTTATTAAATAAGTAGCAGTATACAGATTGAAAGAAAATGTTTGATTCTCTTAAACTCATTTTTTTAGGGGGATAAACTTAGAGAAATTACAAGGACCATTAGTTTTAAAATATTGGAAGTATTTTATATGGCATCAGAAAGTATTACAGGCCAGGCATGGTGGCTCATGCCTGTAATCCCAGCATTTGGGAGGCCGAGGTGGGTGGATCACCGGAGGTCAGAAGTTTGTGAACAGCCTTGCCAATGCAGTAGAACCCCGTCTCTACTAAAAATACAGAGATGAGCCAGGCGCAGTGGCCTGCACCTGAAATCCTAGCTTCTCAGGAGGCTGAGACAGGAAAATTGCTTGAACCCAGGAGGTGGAGGTTGCAGTGAGCCAAGATTGTGCCATTGCATTCCAGCCTGGGTGACAGAGTGAAATTATATCTCAAAAAATATATGTGTTCATCAGGGCTGGGCGCGGTGGCTCAAGCCTGTAATCCCAGCACTTTGGGAGGCCGAGGCAGGTGGATCACGGGGTCAAGAGATCGAGACCATCCTGGTCAACATGGTGAAATCCCGTCTCTACTAAAAATACAAAAAATTAGCTGGGCATGGTGGCGCGTGCCTGTAATCCCAGCTACTCAGGAGGCTGAGGTTGCGGTGAGCCGAGATCGCGCCGTTGCACTCCAGCCTGGGTAACGAGCGAAACTCCATCTCAAAAAAAAAAAGTTCATATATTTCTTTAATAATATACTTTATTACATATAATAAAGTATATATAATTGTATGTAATAAAGTATATTATTAAAGAAATATAAATTATATATAATGAAGTATATTATTAAAGCAATTTATGTGTATGTATATAGTGAGACTTCTGCATGTGAGTTCTACGTAATATGGATTCACATTGAAAATATTAGGGGGAAATATAAAAAATAGCAATACAATAAAAAAATGCAGTTTAGTGAATATTTACATCGTGTTTATGTTCTATGGGGCATTATATGTAATCTATAGATGTTTTAAAGTATGTGGGAGAATTTGCATAGGTTATATGAGATGTTTTAAAGTATATGGGAGAATGTGCATAGGTTATATGCCATTGTTTATAAGGAACTTAACCATTTGTGGATTTTGGTATATGTGGGGGCTCCTGGAATCAATTCCCTCAGACACCAAGGAATCAACCTCTCTCTCTCTCTCTGTCTGTCTCTCTCTCTCTCTCTGTCTCTCTCTGTCTCTCTCTCTCTCTCTCTCTCACACACACACACACACACACACACACACACGCACACGATATAGGAGGTTTCTATATACTGGGATTTCTATATACTATAAACTAGGTTTATATATACTAAAAACTAGGATTCTGTAAAATATGTACACATACACACACGATATGTATAGTATAATATATGTATAATATACATATATAAAACTTCCAACGCCTGGGCTCAAGTGATCCTCCTGCCTGAGCCTCCTAAAGTGCCAGGATTACAGTCTGAGCCACTGCGCCCAGCCCTTAATTTTACTTTGTTTTCCTGTGGTTGTTATGTCTCCACTATAAGCAAGAAACCAGATCTCATTCACTGAAGATTTCCACCCACTCTTGATTTTTTAGCTGCCATTTCTTTAGAAACTATGTTGCATTCCCCTCCCTGAACAATAACGGTATTGAACATCAAACTGGACATTTCTGAAAGAGCAGTACAATTTGAAATATTCCTCCTCAGTGAATTGATTGTTATCTCTTTGTCACCCTAAACTAATTGAACTGTGGGCAGTCCAGGTTGAAAGAAAAGGTTTGGTTTTCTTACACTTATTTCCTTTGGCTAAACTTAGATAAGATTTAGGAAATAGTATTTTAAAAATGTTGGAAGAAGGCTGGGTGCAGTGGCTCACGCCTGTAATCCCAGCACTTTGGGAGGCTGAGGTGGTTGGATCTCGAGGTCAAGAAATCAAGACCATTCTGGCCATAGTGAAACCCTGTCTCTACTCAAATACAAAATGTTAGCCAGGCATGGTGGCACGCACCTGTAGTTCCAGCTACTCAGGTGACTGAGGCAGGGGAATCACTTGAACCCAGGAGCCGAGATCACGCCACTGCACTTCAGCCTGGTGACAGAGCGACAAAAAGAAAAAAAATACTGGAAGAAGCCAGGAGTGGTGGCTGACACATGTAGTCCCAGCAATTTGGGAGGCTGAGGCTGGAGGATTACTGGAGCCCGTAAGCTTGGTTTAGCCTGCACCAGAGTAAGAAAAAGAAATCCCACTGGGCATGGTGGCTCATGCCTTTAATTCTAGCACTTTAGGAGGCTGCTGCAGGTGGATCACTTGAGTTCAAGAGTTCAAGGCCAGCTTGGCCAACATGGTGAAACCCTGTCTCAACTAGAAATACAAGAATTAGCTGGGCATGGTGGCGGGCGCCTGTAATCCCAGCTACTTGGGAGGCTGAGGCAGGAGAATCAGTTGAGCCCTGGAGCGGGAGGTTGCAGTGAGCCAAGATCGCATCACTTCACTCCAGCCTGGGTGAAAGAGCAAGATGTGTTCTCAAAAATAAATTAATTAATATAACAAAAAAATTTCTCCAAAATATTTTTGTTTTGTTTTATTTATTTTTTTTGAAACAGGGTCTCGCTCTGTCACCCAGACTGGAGTACAGTAGTGTAGTCAGGCTCACTGTAGCCTTGAATACCCAGCCTAAAGTGATCCTTCTGCCTTAGCCTCCTGAGAAGCTGGGACTATAGGCGTGTGCCACCATACCCAGCTAATTCTTGTATTTTTTGTAGAGATGGGGTTTCACCATGTTGCCCAAGTTGGTGTCGAACTCTTGGACTCAAATGATCTGCCTGTTTCAGCCTTCCAAAGTGCTGGGACTATGAGTGTGTGCCACTGCACCTGGCTTAACATGTTTTATATGCATGCATTATGTCATAAAAAAGTACTACACAGTATATATATTATAACTAGTTATGAAGGGATCGTTACCGTTTACATAATTTTACAGTTCAGTACCTTTTCAGCCATCTTCAGTTTTCTTTGTGGCTAAATACATTTTTATTATTGGGCAGGTATTTCCTCATTTGGTCATAGAACTTTTCTAATGAGGTGTATTCTATTAGGAATGGTAATTGGTAGGGTCAGTAAGGAGTAGGGTTATTGAGGCCTATAGAGTTTGTTCTTCCTCTTTTTTCATTAATGGGAAAGGAGAAAAATAACTAAACATAATTATTTGATATGGATTGGGAGGAGATAATTAAATCTTCCTATGTGGCAGGAGTTGTGAGTAAATATTGTTGGTATGATTAGAAAGCGCTGCTACTATGAGATCACCTTCTGTATTTCCATTGTTTGGGGTGTTGGAGTCTCCAGAGAGGAGGCGGTGTGTGATCAGATTTATTGTAAAGAGAGTGAAATCACTTTTACTCTCAAGTAATTTGAAATCGAGAAAGCATCACAGAAGTACCGTATTGTTCACATCACAAATGTATAGGGCAATGCTTTGTAGAGTAGTATGAGCTCTGTTTTTCTTTTTTAAAAAAATTCTTGGTGGATTTTTTCGCAGATTTTCCGCAGATTTCCAGTGGCCCCGCTGATCCCTTATCCACTCATCACTAAGGTTCGTTTACATTGTAGGTTTGACAATACTTGTAATTACTGCTGATTGTTGATTTGTCATTCTTGTCTTTGATTTTTCACTATTTAACTTCAGATGGTTAGATTTGTTATTGTGGATGTTCTGTTTATTTATTCATTAAGGCCTTACAGAATGTCTAACTTTTAACTTTTTATATTGATGTGGGTTGATCTTTATTCATTCCCTCCTTTGCTCATTTTCTTTTAGGAGGATATAAATGCTATAGAAATGGAAGAAGACAAAAGAGACCTGATATCTCGAGAGATCAGCAAATTCAGAGACACACATAAGGTAGTATTCTTGTTTTTTCACTTAGTACCAATCTAGACTTTTTACAGAATCCAAAGCAAAGAGACAAAAAAATCAACCTTAAATTAGAATATAATTGTAAATGCTTTTTATAGGTTTAATTGATATTTAGATAGAAAAAAAGAAACAGAAGACCAATACCATATTAAAGTGGTACTTGACATATTGTGCTTAGATTTTTCAGTTACTAACTATTCTGCAGTCATCTCACTTTAATATGCATAGAAGCTAATTTTATTTTTAGATTTCAACATAAACATCAAGGTCAGACTTAAATTAGATTCAGTGGGCAGCAGGATAACATACACTAGTGTTTTTCTGGGGGCAGTTATTTAACTTAATCTGAGGAAAACCTTTTCTTTAGAGCTGAGATTAAAATTTACAATTTATATTTGTATAGATTTAAGTTGAGTGGGGGAGATATTAAAAAGTAGGTCAGTGGTTACCAGACTTACCAAATTTTAGATGCATGGAAGAACTGTAAATTCCCATAAAGCTAATCTATTCATTGACCCCCACCATTATGATAGAGATCATATGGTGACTAATGCAAGATGAAACTCTCAGCTTGGAAAGTAACAAGGAATAGGATGTAAGTATGAGCTTCTGTTTTTTATTATATTTATGGATGCCCCCTCAGAAAAATATGCAAAGGGGTAACTGGCTTGGAAATGGGTGTTTATGCCTAGTAAATCCCACTCACGAGTTTTGCCTATTTGAAGCTTCTCTCAATGACAGTGCATCTGTGAATGTTCGCTGGTGTTGAAAATGATGCTTTTGGACGGTGCAATGCAAACACTGCATGAAATGTATTTTGATGTTAGAGGTAATAAGGTGTTGCTGATTCTTACTGATAGACTGAGAGATCTTTACTCAGTGTAATGTTAAATGTTCATTTTCTGTTTTATTCTTACATTTTCCCATTGCTTTCAAAATCTCAAATTCACATATAATGCCAATGAACACATATTATCCAGATGCCCAGCCCTCACTCACATACACAGTGCTTTTTCAAGAATTAAATGTGTCTAAAAGCACAAACAATTCTCCCAAAATTAATTTTGAGAGTTGAAAAAAGGTGGTCTGTGGGAAATCACTTTAGATGAATCATTTTGGTTAGGTATAATACTGAAATTCAGGACTGAGTAAGCTTAAAAATGGTATATGATTGTGTGTGTGGTTTACCCCCTTTTTGTTTTTATTTATTTGTTAAACTCTGTCATGTTATTGGTAAATGATGAGAAAATCACGTTTTAAGAAAAATTTAAAAATATATTTGCTTTAAAGTTTGAGAATCTGTTCGGCATTTCACTGCCTTAGTATTATTCAGTGGAGGAAATGTTTTGAATTTTCAGAATGTCTTTTAAAAATAAAAAGAAATCAAAATGAAAAACCAAAAAGTTTTTTTTTTTTTTTTTAAATTGGGTGGTTTGGCTAAAAGGGTTGTTTGAAACTCCAGTAACAAAAAATGAGCTCAGTGAACCTTTGCATGTTTTGGTATGAGTTTATTAAATAACCACAGACTGTCAGGGTATCAGCGTGGCAGGGGGCGTCCATTTACAGCACGGATGAGTCTGAAGAGAGAATAAGGTAAGATTTATGATTTTTTAATCTGTCCTTTTTCCTTCATTACTTTCTTACATAATTTTAGATTCGCCTCACTTCCTTTCTCCAGTCTTTAAAAATATACATGTATATGTTTACATGTATTACATATATTTATATATGTGTGTGTGTGTGTGTGTGTGTATATAAAATATGTAAACTTTTAGGAAACATTTAATATGGACTGGATTCACTCACTTTTTCATTACTTAGAACCAAACTTTTGAAATGAGTTCTGAAACAAATGGTTATTTATATAACTGAATATAAGTAGCACAGTGAAATAAGAATTAAAAATTGAGGAATTCTACAAGAAAAATTAATATTGGAACAGCTAAAATATTCTGTAAGTATCTATTTCAGAAATAAACAAATTTCTTTATAAGTGTATGCCATTGAGGTAAGTTTTATATAGTCTAGCCTCATTTTACAATATAAATTTTTATATTCATTAGAACTGTTTCAGAAATGAGATTTTCCCCCTTTAATAGCTGTCAGTTTCTGTCTTCTTTCTATCATTTCTCATTTCATTCCTTTGTAATTTCAATGTATTCAGTTTTGGCTTTGCCTGCATTCTACTACTTTGATATAGAGCGGCACAGCAACTGAATATATTGCTCATACATTAGCTTCTCTTTCATAATCTGCTATCAGTTCTCTGATCCATGAGGAAGAGAAAAAGAGTATCTGACAGGTAAGATTGCTTTTTAAAGTTGTTTTAAATGCATTACATGACTGAGAAAAGAAAAATGCACATTTTATTGTTGCAGTTTAAATTTCATATTGGTGAAACTAAACATGAAACAAAAGGGATAAATGTGTTTTGTTGTTGTACCTGTTTGGGATATTTTTTTCTGAGTTTGTGTAGAAACCGTGTGGTACACTGGTAATCTTGTCAGGGTACAAACTTGGTCTGACTTTGTTATTTGGTTTATTTGTGAACCATGTACTTGCTCTTCCTCCCAGAAACATAGCTTGTAGGGAAGGTTAATCCAGTGTTGGCGATCCATGTCCTAGCACAGCATCTGTAAGTTAATGCACAATCGTTCCTTCCAAGGATGGATTTATCATTGTAAATATATTTTTATTGTCTTACAGGCATAATGGGTATAAGTATATTGCTTTTAAATATTTTAAATGAAACTATTACAGTTACATATATTTTGCTTGAAGTGAGTGATTTTCAAACTTTTTGTATTGTGTGGGCTGTCCATCTTGTAATGGTGGGAGTAAATGTTTCCACAGATAATAAGGCAGTTCTTGGTTGAATTCAGCTTGTGTTTCTTTTGGAGGGTGGGCAAATCGGAGGGCAGAGATTATTTAGTTGGATTATGGGTATTCTGCACCACCTGCCCTTTGAAACCCTCAACTTTAGGTAATATGCAGTCTGGGGTTATAATTAGTATTAATTAATTTGTGGCTTTACAGAAATCCATAATGGACAGAGTTGAGTTTTACCCAAGTGATTGTATTTATAGAAAATATTTTGAACCACTTTCTTCATGGTCATTTTAGTTAGTACATAGTCATTGAGTGGCCAGCCACACCTGACACGATCTCCCAGCATCCAAGATTGGAGATTCCTGGTCTGTGTAGAGTATATGGTTTTGCACGAAATCTTTCTAGTCTTGTGATTGCTTCAGTTTAATTTGTCACATAAAACCACAAGTATTTAATATTAATATATCAGTGGTTTGGTGTTTTTGTTCCCAGTATTGGGGATTGCGCCGGGAAATATCTGAATACTGGAGCTACAGAGTTAACTCTAAAAGTGCTTTTATTGGTTTCTAGAAACTGGAAGAAGAGAAAGGCAAAAAGGAAAAAGAAAGACAGGAAATTGAGAAAGAACGGAGAGAAAGAGAGAGGGAGCGTGAAAGGGAACGAGAAAGGCGAGAACGGGAACGAGAAAGGGAAAGAGAACGTGAACGAGAAAAGGAGAAGGAACGGGAGCGGGAACGAGAACGGGATAGGGACCGTGACCGGACAAAAGAGAGAGACCGAGATCGGGATCGAGAGAGAGATCGTGACCGGGATCGAGAAAGGAGCTCAGATCGTAATAAGGATCGAAGTCGATCAAGGTAAGGCTTTACAGAAGTCACTGTTTCCTGATAGCTTTAATAGAACTACCAGGTAGTCTTCCAGAGTACCATTTGCATTCATGAAATGAGAGAATCTTTTTGTGTGTGAGACATTCTTACTCTGTCATATAGGCTGGAGTACAGTGGCAAACCTTGGCTCACTGCAGTCTCTGCCTCCTGGGTTCAGGTGATTCTTATTGCTCAGCCTCTCAAGTAGCTGGGATTACAGGTTTGTGCCACCATGCCCAGCTAATTTTTTTGCATTTTTGGTAGAGATGGGGATTTACAATATTGATTAGCCTGGTTTCGAACTCCCAGCCCCAAGTGATCCTCCTGCCTCAGCCTCTCAAAGTGCTGGGATTATAGGCGTGAGCCACTCTGCTCAGCCTGAGAATTTTTTTAAAGACAACATGTCTTTGTCTTTCTGTCTCTCTCTCTCTCTCTCTCTCTCTCTCTCTCTCTCTCTCTCTCTCTCTCTCTCACACACACACACACACACACACACACACACACACAATGGGTGAAAGTAATAATTTTCAGCTCTGGTTAATTTCTGAAGCCACTTTTTTTTAAGAAACACAGTGGCCACTCAGTTTTCTGGGCAGGCATGACTCCCTGCTGTCTCCTGGGTCCGTGGACATTTTTTTAGTTGCTCTTTAGTTGAAGTTCTGTATACTGAAACATCAGCTCTAGCACCACATCCTTTCAGCCACTAGCATGTTTACTTGGTTTTGTAGCTCACTGCACTTCCATAGCTTAACCTTTCTGTCTATATATTTACTGTCTACGTCTAGCTCTTTTATTCTTTGGAAGTTTTCTTTTTTTTAATGTTTTTTTTGGAGACGGAGTTTCACTCTTGTTACCCAGGCTGGAGTGCAATGGCGCCATCTCGGCTCACTGCAACCTCCGCCTCCTGGCTTCAGGCAATTCCCCTGTCTCAGCCTCCTGAGGTGGGATTACAGGCACGTGCCACCATGCCCAGCTAATATTTTGTATTTTTAGTAGAGATGGGGTTTCACCATGTTGACCAGGATGGTCTGGATCTCGTGACCTCGTGATCCACCCACCTCAGCCTCCCAAAGTGCTGGGATTACAGGCTTGAGCCACTGTGCCCAGCCAGTTTTATTTTTTATATAAAAATTTTTGTGAATTCTTTTTTTCTGAGACAAGGTGTTGCTCTGTGATCCAGCGGTGAAGTGTTGCCTAACTGCAACCTTTACCTCCCAGGCTCAAGCAGTCCTCCTGCCTCAACCTGCTGAGTAGTTGGGATTATAGGCGTGCCCCACCAAGCCCAGCTAATTTTGTACTTTTAGGAGACATAGGATATTTCCATGTTGGTCAAGCTGATCTTGAACTGACCTCAGGTGATCCCGCCTCAGCCTCCCAAAGTGGTGGGATTACAGGCATGAGCCACCGCGCCCAGCCTTTTTTTTTTTTTTTGAGCATGCTCTGTTGCATAGGCTGGAGTGCAGTGATACAATCATAAATCACTGTACGCTAGAATTCCTGGGTTTAGGGGATCTTCCTACATCAGCCTCTGGAGTAGCTAGGACTACAGGCACATGCCAGCATGCTTCCTGGCCTCAAGCAAGCCTCCTGCCTTCAGCTTCTCAGAATGCTGGGATTAGATGTTATCACTTTTTTGAGATAGACTCTAGCTCTGTCACCTGGGCAAGAGGGCAATGGCACAATCTTGGCTCACCACAACCTCTGCCTGCCAGGTTCAAGTGATTCTCTTGCCTCAGCTTCCTGAGTAGCTGGGATTACAGGTGCCCGCCACCACACCTAGCAAATTTTTTTTGTATTTTTAGTAGAGATGGGGTTTCACTGCATTGGCCAAGCTGGTCTCAAACTCCTGACCTTGTGATCCGCTTGCCTCACTCTCCCAAAGTGCTGGGATTACAAACATGAGCAACTGTGCCTGGCCTAGATTTTATCACTCTTATTTTTAAATATTGGAGAAGGTTCAGTGCTGATACTTGTAAGTTCTGACTTACCCATGCAGCATGTCAAAATTCTGTTTTCCGTGTTTGCCAGCACTTACTCCTTGATCACTGGTAAGGTAAACTATCTCTTAACGAATTCATTAGTCCTTCATGTTTCTTTTGGGAATTAATAGTTTTCCTTTTTTCTGTTTTACACCATCATGTGATTGACTAATATTCCAGCATATGATGGGCATTAACTAATCATTCATTTGAATGACGTAACTGTTTTATATTCAGGATGTGTTTATTTTCGGACATACCAGTAAGCTTTAACACCGACATTAGAATGAATGCAGTTTAGGATTTGGGGCTGGAATTGTGTCTTGCTGATGTGTGTAGAGGAGGTTATATAGTTCTGTGGAAATCAAGTGCTAGATTCTGGTCTGTGACATTTATATTATTTCATAATATATGTTGACCTCCTTTCCTTTGGTCTTGAAAACAGTAGACTGACGGATTTGTAAAATCTTGTGTTTGCATTAGAGAAAAAAGTAGAGATCGTGAAAGGGAACGAGAGCGGGAAAGAGAGAGAGAGAGAGAACGAGAGCGAGAACGAGAACGGGAGCGAGAGAGAGAGCGAGAGAGGGAACGGGAGCGAGAAAGAGAAAAAGACAAAAAACGGGACCGAGAAGAAGATGAAGAAGATGCATATGAACGAAGAAAACTTGAAAGAAAACTCCGAGAGAAAGAAGCTGCTTATCAAGAGGTAAATTGAGCAAATGCTTTTATTCTTAAAGCTTGATATCCCTTAATAGGTTAATAAAAATTTATAGAATACTATATATAAAATTTAAAACTTTGAAAATTTACTTTTTTTAGCGCCTTAAGAATTGGGAAATTAGAGAACGAAAGAAAACCCGGGAATATGAGAAAGAAGCTGAAAGAGAAGAAGAAAGAAGAAGAGAAATGGTAAGATTCTGAACTAAAATAAGTGATTTTTCATGTACAAAATTAGATTAGATTTTTTTTTTTTGAGATGGAGTTTTGTTCTTGTTACCCAGGCTAGAATGCATTGTCTTTTCAAAGTGCTGGGATGACAGGCATGAGCCACCTCGCCTGGCCTAGATTATATCATTATTGCTAACTACAAGCAACTTAATAATTGAAATGCACAAGTGTCTCTGTTCATGAATAATTTAATTTTTACGTATTTTGAGCAATTTGAAGCCAATTTAAGTACACCAAATATTTTTTCCTCTCAAATTTTTGCTGCACTTATCTTTCTGTATATTATCAAAATAAATTTGTCATTTAGTAATATTTAAGTCAGGAATTTATGCAGCTTTTCTCTCTCTCTCTCTCTGTTTTTTTTTTTAAAAGAGATATGGTTTCACCATGTTGGCCAGGATGCTCTTGATCTCTTGACCTGGTGATCCGCCTGCCTCGGCCTCCCAAAGTGCTAGGATTACAGGCGTGAGCCACCGTGCCTGGCCAAAAGTTTTTTTTTTTTTTTCCGCTCTTGTTACCCAGGCTGGAGTGCAATGGCGCCATCTCAGCTCACCGCAACCTCCGCTTCCTGTTGTTCAGGCAATTCTTCTGCCTCAGCCTCCTGAGTAGCTGCGATTACAGGCACATGCCACCATGCCCAGCTAATTTTTTGTATTTTTAGTAAAATGGGGTTTCACCATGTTGACCAGGATGGTCTCGATCTCTTGACCTCCTGATCCACCTGCCTCGGCCTCCCAAAGTCCTGGGATTACAGGCTTGAGCCACCGCGCCTGGCCTTTTTTTTTTTTTAAGAGCCTGCAAAATTGGGCTGGGCGCCTTGTTTTAGTAGAGACTAAAAATACAAAATGAGCCGGGCGTGGTGGTACATGCCTGTAATCCCAGCTACTCTCAAGACTGAGGCAGGAGAATCGCTTGAACCCAGGAGATGGAGGTTATGGTGAGCCGAGATCATGCCATTGCACTCCAGCCTGGGAGGAGATTCATGTCATTTCATGGATTGTTTGCTATCAGCTTAGAGTTAGGTAGACATTACCTTTCAGTTGATTTGAGTACATGATTTAAATTTTAAATTCTGCATTTCTTAAAAACTATTTATTGTAGTATCATTTACCTTAAAATATATACATTGTGTGTATGCGTGCGCCTACGCATATGCTTTTTTTTTTTTTTTTTTCCTTGAGGCAGAGTCTTGCTCTGCTACCCAGGCGGGAGTGCAGTCAGTGGTGCGATCTTGGCTCACTGCAACCTCCACCTCCTGAGTAGCTGGGATTACAGTCGCATGCCACCACGCCCAGCTAATTTTTGTATTTTTAGTAGAGACATCCGTTTCACCATGTTGGCCAGGCTGGTCTTCAACTTTGGATCTCAAAGGATCTACCCACCCTGGCCTCCCAAAGTATGCTGGGTTTACAGGTGTGAGCCACCACGTTCAGCCATATTTTTTTATTTAATAAGATAATCAATCTCCAGTTTTGTTGCTCAGTTTAGGTATTGTATTTTGAGGATAATATTCAGAGAGCATATTTATTGTAGCATTGTGTACATATGTGGTTTGCATTTTTCAGATAAGCCCTTATTCAGACTTGTCTTAGAAGTAAAATATTTTAAATGTCTAATGTAATTTATATTTAATTATGAAGTATATGAAAACTAAATTTAAAGGGATAAGAAAAATCTTTTTAACCAAAGTATTATCTTTATTATGGCATAGTGTTTTATATATTAGCTCATTTTACAGTGAAAACATTTTATGTACAATTATAAAGAGGCAACTGTGCATGTAGCTCCAACTTAAATTAGAAAATATTTTTATGGAAGACAGTAAAAATAACATTTCCTAGGCTAGCCCAACAAGTTTATTTAAACCAAATAACTGAATACATTATACATTGATAAATACTGAATTTTGTAATCCAGGAGTAACTTTCCTTTATTGAAACAGCGATGTTTTCCTTGAAGTTATGTGAAGAGAAATTCCTGTTAATCTCCCTCTTACTCTTGGTTTATGTCTGGTTAGGAAAGACCTGTTTCCACAAAAGAGAGAAGGGTAATCTTTATTATACTTGTATGTTAATTTTATGCCTTGTTCTTAATTTCCTCAAAGGCCAAAGAAGCCAAACGACTAAAAGAATTCTTAGAAGACTATGATGATGATAGAGATGACCCCAAATATTACAGGTAAAGAAGGTTTGTGTTGCTTGGTTTTTTATTAGCTGTAGTTTCCACTGTCTACACAGCTGATAATGCAGATTTGCTAAGTAGAATAAGACAACAAGAAACTTTCACATTGCATGTAGTAATTACTTATAAGGCTGATACACTGTTTTTTTCGGGGGAGAAAAGAGCTATTAGAAAAGGATCAACATTTCTGTGCATCTTTTGTGTAGTGGGGAGCCCATAATAGTATTATATCGAATAACACTATTTTTTTCTTCAGGTGTGGTAAATAGGTCTGATTTTTAAAAAATTTTCTTAAATTTTTTAAATACAGGGTTTTAACTCAGTTGAAATGCAGTGGCATGATCATAGTTGACTGTAACCTTGAACTCTTGGGCTCAAACAATCCTCCCTCCTCAGTCTCTCGAGTAGATTGGACTATAGGTGTGGGCTACCACACCTGTCTGCTAGGTCCAGTTTTTATAGCAAGTTACAACTAATGTCTGTAACTATCTGGCTTGGTCTAGAAATTTTGGTCTTCTAGCAGTTTGACCTCACTTCTCTCACCCCATCTCCAAATTGATAAATTATTGTGAAGTGAGAGTTGTGACAACTGCCTTCCCTCATTCTTTGTTCCCATGGCATTTGCAAATAACTCATTCTAGTTAATTTATGACATTATGGCAAAATTGTGTGTTTTGTTCTGCCTTCCACCCAAACTGTAAGTTCCCTGGGGATATAAACAGTGTCTTGATACTATTTTATCTGTAGTTTGTCTGACATGATACAGTCATCATGAAGATATTTAATTTAGTTAAATTTAATACCGTATAGCCAAAATAATTAAAACATTGGAATTATCAGCCTAAATTTAAAGAGTGCCAGGTTTTTGCCAGTTAAATTACTGAAGACTAGAAGCATGAAGTAGCAATGTATAACTTTAACATTCTGAGACATAATGAACTGCTATATAGGAGAGAACCTGCTTTCTGTTGATTCAGTACTACTTTTTGAGATTTTTTTTTTTTTTTTTTTGAGACGGAGTTTCGCTCTTGTTACCCAGGCTGCAGTACAACGGCGCGATCTCGGCTCACCGCAACCTCTGCCTCTTGGGTTCAGGCAATTCTTCTGCCTCAGCCTCCTGAGTAGCTGGGATTACAGGCACGCGCCACCATGCTCAGCTAATTTTTTGTATTTTTAGCAGAGACGGGGTTTCACCATGTTGACCAGGATGGTCTTGATCTCTTGACCTCATGACCCACCTGCCTCGGCCTCCCAGAGTGCTGGGATTACAGGCGTGAGCCACCGCACTCGGCCGAGATTTTTTTTACAAGTGAATTAATTTAAATTGAGGATACAACAACTCTTAGTGTTGCTAATGCTACTTTATATGTTTTTAGGTTGGTATCTAGGAAAACAAAAATTATTAAGCATTCCTTGTGAAATAGGCTCAAAATGGGAGCCCTCTTTCTGAAAGCGACCATTTCACTTGTTTAGACACTTACTAGAAGGGCTTTAAGAATGAAGGGAACATAGTGATAAATGACAAGATGATGCTTATTTGTTACACACGTACATGTATAGAGCACATTCTCATGTGTTCTATGTCTACAGAACATTAAGACATTCTTTAACCTCTTAGCATGTGGGTTGTAGTATTGAAAAGAGGTGCTGTTGGAAATGTCATGTGCACTACTCAATGACCTGGGTATTAAATTAGTTCTTTTATCATTCACTGTTGCAGAGGAAGTGCTCTTCAGAAAAGGTTGCGTGATAGAGAAAAGGAAATGGAAGCAGATGAACGAGATAGGAAGAGAGAGAAGGAGGAGCTTGAGGAAATCAGGCAACGCCTTCTGGCAGAAGGGCATCCAGATCCAGATGCAGAGCTCCAGAGGGTAAGATAATATAACATTCACATGATTTTATTTTAAGGTTACCACGCCATCTTAAAGTCAAGTATGATGCAGTTTAATTTATACTTAAGGGAAATGCATTTTATGCTCCATGGAACATGCTATTTGGTGGAAGGTTATTAGTACTTTTTATTTAATTACACAAGTCATCAGTATTAGTTGGTTTACAACTTCATTCTAAACATCCTGCAGACGTCTTATTCTTTGTTTTCTATGCATGTCTTTTTTATTAGACAGAGTCTGGCTTTATCTTCCCAGGCAAGAGTGTAGTGGCTCAGTCTCAGCTAACTGCAACCTCTGCCTCCCATGTTCAAGTGATTCTCCTTCCTCAGCCTCCCAAGTAGTTGGGATTACAGGTGCCTGCCGCCCGGCTAATTTTTGTATTTTTAGTAAAGATGGGGTTTCGCCATGTTGGCCAGTCTAATCTCAAACTCCTGACCTCAAGTGATCTGCCCGCCTCAGCCTTCCAAAGTCTTGGGATTACAGGCGTGAGCCTCCATGCCCACGTGCCCATTGTTTTTTTTATTGAGACAGAGTCTGGCTTTGTTGCCCAGGCTGGAGCACAGTGGTGGAATCTTGGTTCACTGAACCCTCTGCCTCCTCAGTAAGTGATCCTCCTTTCTCAACCTCCTGAGTAGCTGGGACACTGTATGTGTGAGCCAGAATGCCTGGGTAACTTCTTTGTGCTTTTTTGTAGATAAGGAATTTTGCTGTGTTACCTAGGAGTGAGCCACTGCTCTGGCCTTTTTTTTTTCCAAGCGATTATCTCGTGTCAGCCTCCTAAGTAGCTGGGACTACAGGGGCGCGCCACCACGCCTGGCTAATTTTTGTTTTGTTTTTTGACTTTTTTGTTTTTTTATTGAGACAGAGTCTCACTCTGTTGCCCAGGTTGGAATGCAATGGTGCAGGGCTCGCTGCGTAAGCCATCATGCCCAGCTTTTTCTCTTTTAAAAAAGACATTTTAAAAAAAGATCAAGTTGAATATTGTAGAGTTGTAGTTAATTGATTATTGTTTTGGTTTTAGATGGAACAAGAGGCTGAGAGGCGCAGGCAGCCACAAATAAAGCAAGAGCCAGAATCAGAAGAGGAGGAAGAAGAAAAGCAAGAAAAAGAAGAAAAACGAGAAGAACCCATGGAAGAGGAAGAAGAGCCAGAGCAAAAGCCTTGTCTCAAACCTACTCTGAGGCCTATCAGTTCTGCTCCCTCGGTTTCCTCTGCCAGTGGCAATGCAACACCCAACACTCCTGGGGATGAGTCTCCCTGTGGTATTATTATTCCTCATGAAAATTCACCAGATCAACAGCAACCTGAGGAGCATAGGCCAAAAATAGGATTAAGTCTTAAACTGGGTATGTTAGCATTTCCTTCCTTCTTTATTTTCTCCCCTTCACCCGTGCAAATACCTGTATTGTGCTTTAAGGAGAATTATATATTTGTGCTTGGTTAGGTAGATAGAAGATTACTAAAAAATGCCTTTCTAGCTCACGATTGTTTTCATAGTTTTACTAGTGCTCCTATATCTGCAGCTGCCTCGAGTTCTGAGAAGAAGTGAAAAGTTTAATTTTCTAGCACTTGTGAGTAGTGAGTTATTTTTTACAGTTGGGATCTTTCTCTGAGATTTGTGGAAGTATGTTTTGCACTACTTTTGAGGGATGGTGGGTTATAAAATGAAACATTCGAAAATTAAGTTATCATGCTAAGAGAGTGTTTTTACTATAGGTGCTTCCAATAGTCCTGGTCAGCCTAATTCTGTGAAGAGAAAGAAACTACCTGTAGATAGTGTCTTTAACAAATTTGAAGATGAAGACAGTGATGACGTACCACGAAAAAGGAAACTGGTCCCCTTGGATTATGGTGAAGATGATAAAAATGCAGCCAAAGGCACTGTAAACACTGAAGAAAAGCGTAAACACATTAAGAGTCTCATTGAGAAAATCCCTACGGCCAAACCTGAGCTGTTTGCTTATCCCCTGGATTGGTCTATTGTGGATTCTGTGAGTAGGAAATTATATTTCATCATGTTATTGAGAGCAGTTGGAATATGCCATAAAAATTCATTAGAATAAAAAAAATTCGTTTGATTGTATTAATAATAAGTAGAGATGAACATCTTGATACCAACTCAATGCCATAGTCAAGAAATTAATTAAAAATTTTTGGTGTAGTTGAAGACTTAAAAGCAGATGATTGTATCTTGATACATGTCTGTCTTAGTTCAACTTGTGAATTAACATTATAGTTTAGTCTCAGGAAAAATGCGGCTTTAATAGATGTGATAGAAAGATAGAATTCCTTAATTCAGTAATGGTGCTTTGTTTTGCAGATACTGATGGAACGTCGAATTAGACCATGGATTAATAAGAAAATCATAGAATATATAGGTGAAGAAGAAGCTACATTAGTTGATTTTGTTTGTTCTAAGGTTAGTCTTTTATTCTCTTTCAACAAATATTTATGTATTAAAATATTAGACAGTTTCTAAAATAAAGAGCAAAAGTCTTAGAGTCAAGTTACATGATGGTTTAGGTTCAATTAAGTGATTTATATCTGCTTTTTCAAAATTATTTTTATTTTTGGTGTGTTTTTATTCATTGCAGTAAATGCAGATTTGTCTGCTTTAAATGAACATTTCCGTCCCACTTAGATTCCTCACACCATATTTCAAAGGGTCAAGGAGAATGGAATTGCCGGCTACTGCCAATTATGTGCTCTCTCTTCCTGTCCCTGAGAATGCTGTGCCATCATCTTTGGTTGGAAGAATTATGTTGAGATTTTGTGGACATAATGAGTAGCTTTTCCTATCAACTCCTTTGTCAGTCACCCATTCTTTGGATAGGATCAAAATAATTCCTTTCATATCATAGTAACGATCAGTGTTTATTGACTGACAGGCTGTGTTCTTGACAGGTATTAGTTGTTTTTTGTTGTTAGTTTTTGTTTTTTTGAGTCAGAGTCTTATCATTGCCCAGGCTGGAGTACAGTGGTGCAGTCATGGCTCACTGCAGCTTTGAGCGCCCAGTGTAAAGTGATCCTCCTGCCTTTGCCTCCTGAAAAGCTGAAATTGTAGGCACGTACCACCACACCCAGCTAATTTTCTTTTCCTTTTCTGTTTTTAAATTATACTTTAAGTTCTGGGATACATGTGCAGAATGTGCATGTTTATTACATAGGTATACACATGCCAGGGTGGTTTGCTGCACCCATCAACCTGTCATCTACATTAGATATTTCTCCTAATGCTATCCCTCTCCTAGTCTCCCACTTCCCGACAGGCCCCAGTGTGTAATGTTCCCCTCCCTGTGTCCATGTGTTCTCATTGTTTAACTCCCACTTACGAGTGAGAACATGTGGTGTTTGGTTTACATCCAGCTAATTTTTTGTATTTTTAGTGGAGAGGGGGTTTCACCATGTTGGCCAGGCTGGTCTAGAACTCCTGACTTAAAGTGATTCACCCACGTTGGCCTCCCAAAGTGCAGGGATTACAAGGCGCGAGCCACTGTGCCCAGCCGAAGATAATGTTCTATAAAACGTTAACTCAAGGCCAAGTGTGATGGCTCACGCCTTGTAATTCCTCCACTTCAGGAGGCCCCCTGAGCGGAACACTTGTGGTCAGGAGTTTCAGACCAGCTAGGCCAACATAGCAAAACCCCATTTCTACTAAAAAGACAAAAATTAGGTGGGCACGGTGGCAAGTGCCTGTAATCCCAGCTACTTGGGAAGCTGAGGCAGGAGACTCACTTGATCCTAGGAAGCGGAGATTGAAGTGAGCCCTGATCATGCCATTGTACTCCAGCTTGGGCCATAAGAGCGAGATTCCTCACCTCAAAAAAAAAAAAAAAAAGGAACTTTACAAACACTCTTAGGATGTGTGTGTCACGAATATTATACCCGTTTTATATTTGAGGAAATTGAGGTTTAAGGAGAGGTTGTGTCTTGGTTATGCTGTATAATGAGTCTAGTCTCTGAAACCCATGCTCTTAACCACTAAGGCATATCATATCCTTCCATTGTCCTCTAAAACCATAGTCTTAAATTGAATAAACAGTTAACATAGTAGAAGCACCGTATTCCTGTAAAGGTATAGCTATGCTATTTTTCTGTCAGTAGTGCTTTTTTGATATCATGAACAGTAAATTTTCTCTTTTCTCCAACTTGTAATTATTGTGACATTAAAACTTGTGTCAAATTTGACTTAAAATTAGACTACAGACAAATATAGAGATTAAGATCCTAGGTTCTGGTGCCTCTTTCAGAGTAATAATCTGAAAATTAAAACATTTATGGAATGGTTTCTTAGCCACAAGAAATTCCTGTCTGAATTCAAGGATTAATATCTTAAAATTTCTTTACTATATTGGTAATATTTTATTTATTTTTCACATGCAAATTATTTCTTTTAGGTTATGGCTCATAGTTCACCCCAGAGCATTTTAGATGACGTTGCCATGGTAAGTCAGAAATTCACTATTTTTCATCACTATTTTCTTTCTTAATTAAAAAAAAAAGTTTTTGTCTTAAAATAGAAATGGGGTCTCACTATGTTGCCCAGGCTAGCCTTGAATTCCTAGATTCCAGTAATCCTCCTGCATCAGTCCCCCAAAATGTTGAGATTACAGGCATGAGCCCCACCATACCTGGCCAGAAGTGCACTATTATTAATATTTTAATTAGCATCTGTAAAAACTCACTTTTGAATTTGATTCACTTCCTGCCTATTTTTGATCCAGAATCTCTTTTATGCCTGAATTAAAGCTTGAATGGCTGGGCACAGTGGCTCATGCCTGTAATCCCAGCACTTTGGGAGGGTGAGTTGGGTGGATCACAAGGTCAGGAGATCGAGACCATCATGGCCAACATGGTGAAACCCCATCTGTACTAAACAAAAATTATCTGGTCATGGTTGTGTGCGCCTGTAATTCCAGTGGGAAGCTGAGGCAGGAAAATCATTTGAACCTGAGAAGAGGAGGTTGCAGTTAGCTAAGATCACACCATTGCACTGCATCCTGGCGACACAGCAAGATTCCGTCTCAAAAAAAAAAACAAACAAACTTGAATATACATTTAAAAAGGTTAAAGGCATCCACAGCAACAAATCATTACCTAGCCCTTAAAATTAGTGCCTAATTCTTTTCCACCAGTTCCATTCATGTTTTCCAGTAAAATGTGCTAGAAGCAAAAGTAGAACAAATGACCTGTAGTAGTGCAGAGACAGATATTCAGATACTGAAACCTTGATATATTTGTTTGAATTAGATATGTAGAAACGATAATGGAGTCAGAGGAGATAGAGCATCTGATGACATTGATAGCGATTAGGTTAAGCATCATAGGGATTACCATAGAAACTGAGACATGTAGTTTGTATGTGTGTGTGCGTGTGTGCATATATATGTATATATATGCACACACTTTTTTTAACTTGGATACATGCGCAGGTTTGTTACGTAGGTAAACTTGTGTCATGGGGGTTTGTTGAACAGATTATTTTATCACCCAGGCACTAAGCCTAGTATTCATTAGTTATTTTTCCTGATCCTCTCCCTCCTCCCACCCTTCACCCTAAGGTAGGCCCCATTGTATGTTGTTCCCTTCTTTGTGTTCATATGTTCTCATTATTTAGCTCCCACTTATAAGTGAGAACATACTGAATTTGGTTTTCTGTTTCTGTGTCAGTTTGCTAAGGATAGTGACTTCTGGCTCCATCCATGACCCTGTAAAGGACAATTTCTTTCTTTCTTTCCTTTCCTTCTTTCCTTCTCTCTCTCCCTCTCTCTCTCTCTCTCTCCCTCTCCCTCTCTCTCTCTCTCTCTCTCTCCCTCTCCATCTCTCCATCTCTCTCTCTCTCTCTCTCTCTCTCTCTCTCTCTCTCTATCTCTATCTCTATCTCTATCTCTATCTATCTATCTCTCCCTCCCTCCCTCCAGAGTCTCTCTCCGTCACCGGGTGCCAGGCTGGAGTGCAGTGGCACAATCTCGGCTCACTGCAGCCTCCGCCTCCTAGGTTCAAGCAATTCTCCTGCCTCAGCCTCCTGAGTAGCTGGGACTACAGGCACATGCCACTGTGACCAGCTAATTTTTGTATTTTTAGTAGAGACGGGGTTTCACCATGTTGGGCAGGATGATCTTGATCTCTTGACCTCGTGATCCACCCACTGCGGCCTCCCAAAGTGCTTGGATTACAGGCATGAGCCACTGCGCCCAGCCCTATTTCTTTCTTTATTGCCGCAAAGTTGTACGTATATCTGTTGGACTGGCAGGGAACATCAAATTCTATTGCATTTAATTTGGGATTATAGTCAGTTCACATGTATTTAACACTGTGATTTTATGAGACAGGAAAGGAGAAAAAATTGATCATAAAGGTTGAGAGAGAGATTGAACTTTGAGCTCCAAGTTAGGAAGAGAAGAAAATAACACCCGAACAGAGCTGGTGGTTTGAATGAATTAAGGACTAGTGGTTCCAATGAGGTTGTGGAAGGTGAATTGTAATAAAAAAACTGAAAGGAGAGGTTATGATCAAAGTGTAGAAAGTTCAAGCCTCTGTGTGATAGGTCACTCTAGATGACGGCAAGGTGCAAAGTATGGCTATAGGAAATTCCTGGGTGTTGTGAGTCGGATTGGAGAGAAATACTCAGCTCATTGCCAGAATACTCATTTACATGTGAGAAAGACTGGGTATTTGCTAGATAGCTGCTCTTGCAGTGAATAGGGTAGTGAGAGCTCATGAACTTCCATGGAATTTTTTTTTTTTTTTTTAACAAAGAAACAGTATATAAAGCAGAGAGAAAAATGTGAAAAGGAAAAAAGAAAGCAACAGTGAAGATTCACCAGTCATTCCTGTAGACACTAAGACACTAAGAGTGAGAGACTCCCTAAGAAGTGTTAGGGCTCTAGGAGATAAAGGAGGGTTTCTGTTAAGAGGAAAGACCTAACTAAACTAGTTGTCAGTGTCTAGTGTAAAATGGAATTGGGCTCCAAAGGGCAGAGTGAGAAGGCAGCGATGGGAAGATGAGCAAGAAAGGAAGTGTCATCAAGCATGATATGAAATGGTAGATTTCTGGGAAAATTTGTACTTCCAGCTGCCTCCAAAGATGCCAGGGAAGGACATAGTGGGGTTTATAACCAAAAGGAAGGATTGTGAGGTCAAGCTGTTTTGTGTCCAGGCATTATATGGTGTCTAAAGCCAGATGACATTCCTTTTCTGCTGCCTAGCTAGCTGGATGCAGCTGTTGTTTTAGAACGCCTCACAAAACATTTGTGAAAACTTCATTGCCTCAGAGGAAAGGAGAAATGTGATGAATAGGTTTCATTCCTTGGGGCTGGATTCTGAACTTGACTGAACTTCCAGCCCCTTTTTTCTTGGGATAGAGGGTGTCATAGTTAGGCCTGAGTAAAGGCATTTTAAAAATAAAACACTGTGCTAGTGTTTGGCCTCAGCAGAGTTCCTAACATAGTAAAGATTTCATGTCAGTGTTAATCTAGATTTGTTGATCTGTTAATATTGCTATTTGGAGTATATTTAAACTCCTGTTGATTATCATTTTGTGGCTCATTGTTGATTAGAATGGGAGGAAACCAACTGAGCTCGTGTTGTCAAACACCTCTGCTAGAAAGCTCATGGGCCTTGTAAATATTTCTTGAATAAATGAGGAGACTGAATTTTTAGCATGGGTGCTGTTTTAACTCTTAACGAAAGTCTGACTTTTTTATACCTTTCTTCATTTTATGTAAATTAAATGAAGTTTGGTTGCATTTTGTACCTGTATCTCTCTGAAGTATGACTCTGATGTTAATTAGTATTAAAACAGAGTTCTTAAACTAAGGTCAAATCTGGCTCATAGAAATCTGATTAAAAGTTTTTTGTTTTTTTTTGAGATTGAGTTTTGCTCTTGTTGCCCAGGCTGGAGTGCAATGGCTCATTGAAACCTGCGCCTCCTGGCTTCAAGCGATTCTCTTGCCTCAGCCTCCTGAGTAGCTGGGATTTACAGGCATGTGCCACCATACCCAGCTAATTTTGTATTTTTAGTAGATGGGGTTTCTCCATGTTGGTCAGCCTGGTCTCAAGCTGCCAACATCAGGTGATCTGCCTGCCTCATCCTCTTAAAGTTCTGGGATGATAGGCATGAGCCACCATGATTGGCCTAAAAGTTAATTGCCATAATTGAGACAAATAAATTTCTTTCTTTCTTTCATTTACTTCCTTCCTTCCTTTCTCTCTCTCTTCTTTCTTTCTCTCTCTCTGTCTTTTCTCTCTTTTCATCTGTTTTTCTTTTCTTTCAAGTCTTGCTCTGTTTCCCAGGTTGTATGGAGTGCAGTGCCATGATCTCAGTTCACTGCAACCCCCTCTTCTTGGGTTCAAGTGATTTTCCTGCCTCGGGCTCCCAAGTAGCTGGGATTACAGGTGCCCACCACCACGCCTGGCCAATTTTTGTATTCTTAGTAAAGGGTTTTGTCATGTTGGCCAGGCTAGTCTTGAACTCTTGATCTCAAGTGATCCTCCCACCTCACCCTCCCAAAGTGCTGGGATTACAGGCATGAGCCACTGTGCCCAGACTGAAAGAATTTTTTTATAGAAATCAAAATTTCTGGCCTCTCCTAGATACTTATTTATTAAAAAAATCTTTTTTGAGAGGGAGTCTTGCTGTGTCGCCTAGGCTGGAGTGCAGTGGCACAGTCTTGGCTCACTGCAGCCTCTGTGCATGGTATTACAAGCATGCACCTGGCTAATTTTTGTATTTTTAGTAGAGACGGGGTTTCACCATGTTGACCAGGCTGGTCTCAAATTCCTAACCTCAGGTCATTCTCCCACCTAGGCCTCCCGAAGTACTGGGATTACTGAGCCATCATGCCCAGCCTTCTAGATACTTATTAAGCACTTGTTATATACCAGATACTCTTCAGAGTACTTAACTACATAACAACTCTTTTTTTTTTTTTTTTTTTTTTGAGATGGAGTTTTGCTCTTGTGACCCAGGCTGGAGTGCAATGGCGTGAGCTTGGCTCACCGCAACCTCCACCTTCTGGGTTCAGGCAATTCTCCTGCCTCAGCCTCCTGAGAAGCTAGGATTACAGGCATGCACCACCACGCCCAGCTAATTTTTTGTGTTTCTAGTAGAGATGGGGTTTCACCATGTTCACCAGGATGATCTCTTGACCTCGTGATCCACCCGCCTCGGCCTACCAAAGTGCTGGGATTACAGGCTTGAGCCATTGCGCCCGGCCATAACAACTCTTTTAATTCCCACTTCGTACCTACTGCTATGGTGTTGCTGTGTCCCCTCCACTTTACAGATGAGGGAGCTGAGGCTCAGGTTAAGTAACTTAGTCAAGGACCTACAGCTCGTAAGAGATAGAAGAAGTTCAATTTGAACCTATGTAGTCTGACTAGATACTGTGTACTCTAAAATTCCTACCCTGAACTGCCTCTATGAAGACCTGGCAATACTAGACCACATTTTGTCAAGGCAGAGATACCCTGGAGCATAGTCATAGCTGTCCCCTTTAGAAGGGAGCAAGGTATTCCATTTCGCCTCACAGCAGTCCTAATGTAGAGGGCCAGATGTGTGTGGGATGATGGCAGGAATAGTGGTAGGGACACAAGAAACCTAACTCATAAGTAGAGAGGAAGACGATTTATTCATCTGTCACTGTAAAAAGACTTGTTACTCTGTAGTCATATGTGCCCTGTGATGGTGATTGCATTTGCTTATTCTGTTTACTAAATACTGACATTCTCATTTAATGTTTGCTTTGGTGTCACATACACAATAAATGCGGTTAAGATGGTATGGTTGGGCTGTGCACAGCAGCTCACACCTGTAATTTCAGCACTTTGGCAGTCTGAGGTGTGCAGGTTGCTTGAGCCCAGGAGTTTGAGACCAGCCTGGGCAATCTAGTGAGACCGTATCTCTACTTAAAAAAGCCCAAATTTTAGCCAGGAGTAGCGGTGTGTACCTGTAGTCCCAGCTACTGGCAAGGCTGAGGTGAGAACATCACTTGAGCCAGGGAGGTCAAGGCTGCAGTCACCATGATCATACCACTGCACTCCAGACTGGGTGATGAGAGATCCTGTCTCCAGAAAAAAAAAAAGTTTGTGAGGTTGTGTTTTTGGGGATAAATGAGATGCTGTATTGTTACTATGTAATTGTATATTTATTTAGTTCTTCATAAATTACTATGTTCTTTATGAAAAGTATGTGATTTCCTGCCGGGCACAGTGGCTCACGCCTGTAATCCCAGCACTTTGGGAGGCCGAGGTGGGTGGATCACGAGGTCAAGAGATTGAGACCATCCTGGTCAACATGGTGAAACCCCGTCTCTACTAAAAATACAAAAAATTAGCTGGGCATGGTGGTGCATGCCTGTAATCCCAGCTACTCAGGAGGTTGAGGCAGGAGAATTGGCTGAACCCAGGAGGCGGAGGTTGCAGTGAGCCTAGCTCGTGCCGTTGCACTTCAGCCTGGGTGACAAGAGCAAAACTCCCATCTCAAAAAAAAAAAAAAAAAAAAAAAAAAAAAAAAAAAGAAAAAGAAAAGTATGTGATTTCCTTAGGAAGTAGTTTTGTCAGATATGTATAAATGCAGTATCTTTAAAGGTAAAAGAATAAAAGGTAGATCATAAAAATATTGTAGTGTTTATGTTTAGTAAGCCGTGGAATTTTGAATTTTTTTGTTGTTGGTAATTTACTATCCATCCATTCGTTTATTTTTTGAGATGGAGTCTTGCTCTTGTTGCCCAGGCTGGAGTGCAATGGCACAATCTCGGCTCACCACAACCTCCGCCTCCTGGGTTTAAGCGATTCTCCTGCCTCAGCCTCCCAAGTAGCTGGGATTACGGGCATGTGCCACCACCCATGGCCAATTTTCGTATTTTTAGTAGAGATGTAGTTCTCCATGTTGGTCAGGTTGGTCTCGAACTCTTGACCTCAGGTGATCTGCCCCTCGCGGTCCTTTCAGAGTGCTGGGATTACAGGCGTGAGCCACTGCACCCTACCTATTTATTTTGAGTTGGCGTTCTGCTCTTGTTGCCCAGACTAGAGTGCAATGGCACGATCTCAGCCCACTGCAACTCCCGCCTCCTGGGTTCAAACGATTCTCCCACCTCAGCTTTCCGAGTAGCTGGGATTACAGGCACTCCCCACCATATCCCAGCTAATTTTTGTGTTTTTTACTAGAGAAGGGGTTTCACCCGCGGTGTTGTCCAGGCTGGTCTCAAACTCCTGACCTCAGGTGATCCATCCTGAGGTCAAAGTGCTGGAATTACAGTTGTGAGCCACTGCTCCCAGCTGATATTTATTAAGAATACATTTCTCACAGTAGGAACATTTTCTTTAAGTCATTTTAGTGAAAATTAAGCTACTTCCTAAGGAAAACAAATACTTGTTATAAAGAACATAGGAATTTAGGAAGAACTAAATATGTAACTATATAATAACAATACAGAATCTCATTTATCACACGCCCCGCCAAAACAACCTTAAAATCCTAACTAGCATTTAAGTAATAAGTGCTTATTGTCAGTGGATGAAAAACTTTTCCTGCTAGTCACTGTTGTTGGGAGTTGATGATGATTGCTTCTCTAACACATGTTGCTGCTTTGTTTCCTCTTTAGGTACTTGATGAAGAAGCAGAAGTTTTTATAGTCAAAATGTGGAGATTATTGATATATGAAACAGAAGCCAAGAAAATTGGTCTTGTGAAGTAAAACTTTTTATATTTAGAGTGTTCCATTTCAGATTTCTTCTGCACCACCCTTTTAAGGACTTTGAATTTTTCTTTGTCTTTGAAGACATTGTGAGATCTGTAATTTTTTTTTTTATTGTAGAAAATGTGAATTTTTTTGTCCTCTAATTTGTTGCCCTGTGTACTCCCTTGGTTGTAAAGTCATCTGAACCTTGGTTCTCTTTATACTCACCAGGTACAAATTACTGGTATGTTTTATAAGCCGCAGCTACTGTACACAGCCTATCTGATATAATCTTGTTCTGCTGATTTGTTCCTTGTAAATATTAAAATGACTCCCCAATTCTTTTGCAGAATTGCACTTAATATTGAAATGTACTGTATAGGAACCAACATGAACAATTTCAAATGAAAACACCAGTCATATCTATTATCACCCCCACTCTCTTTTGATCAGAAATGGCAAGCCCTTGTGAAGCCATGGAGTTTAAAATTAGAATGCAAAAATTAGCAGACAATCCATTTCTACTATATTTCTGTATGAATGTGTTCGTATGAATGTATGTGTAAAAGTCTTTCTTTTCCCTAATTTGCTTTGGTGGGGTCCTTAAAACATTTCCTAAGTAACAAATAGAACTGTAAAGGAAAAGTTATATTGTTCGAACCCAAAATGTCTGGTATAATTAGGTTGTTAGTTTCTCATAGCATGGTATTCTCGTGTCGTGAGCAATGGTCTGCTAACTGGATGGGGTTTCCTTATTAATAAGCTGGCTGCTTCAGTTTCTCTTTTAAAGGAATGTGGATCATAGTGATTTTCCCCTTTAATTTTATTGCTCAGAAATGAGGCATATCCTAAAATCCTGGAGAGTTGTATTTAATGCATTTTTGCACTAATTGGTCCTTAGTTTAATTATATCCCTTTATTTAACAAAAAATTTATTTCAAAAGTATAAGTGAAAACTGCCTTTAAAACAAAACAAAAAATGAAACTAGGCAAATTGACAGACAATGAGAGTTTTACAAACATGATAGGTATTCTGCTTGGCAACTTATAAGTTATATTTACATCTTATTTAAGGATAAAGGTAAATTTATCAAGGTAATTACTAACGACTAATTTTTTGTTTTCATTTTTGTCCTGTAGAAGGTTTATATCTTGTTTTACCTTGGGTCATTAGTGTTTAAAAACGTACTGATGATGTGCTCAGAGAAATTCCTGGGGCTCTCTTTATTGTAGATCAGAATTTCACCAGGGAGCAAAATTACCTGAAAATGTAACAAGCTTCAAACAGCTTTTCACACAAATTAGTTGCAACTGTTCCCATGTCTGAGTACTTATTTAAAAGAAAGGTAAAGATTGGCCTGTTAGAAAAGCATAATGTGAGCTTTGAATTACTGGATTTTTTTTTTTTAAACACTTTGAGAGGACATTTGAAAAAACTGTTCTTACCCTTGAACCCTGACATGGTTCCATTATGTAAATATTTCAAATATTAAAAATGTATATATTTGATCCTGGGGACTCATATTCTTTCAGAATCATGTAAATAAATGGCATCATGTTATAATTGTGTGGTGCATACTAAAAAACTTAGAAACATGGGCTGAATTTTTTTATGGACATGATTTTTATGACTATTGGTACCTAAAGGTCAAGGAAGCCATTTACATTATTTTTGATGGATCTATATATCTGTGGAAATACCTCTTTTTATTATATTTTAAACTCTGGTTTCTTGAGGGAAAATTTCAGAAAAGATGCCCCTTGCCATTTCAAGTTTCTTTTTCAGCTTTTTCTCAGACACACCCCCAACCTAAGATCTTGTTTCAGCAATTTATTGTGTCTGTCTTTTTTTTTTTAACATACTGCAGTTACTGTTTCTAAGGCATCATATTATGTTGTTTTTATTTAGCCACTATTAACATGAAGATTTATTCAGCTAGATTTGATTTCCTTTCCTTGGTTTCTTCTCCTGTTCTGTCAACTAGACTTATCCTAAAGGACCACTCTAAAAACAAAGGGCATCTCTTAATCTGAAACCCTTAGGGAGGTATACTGTGTACTGCATAACATCTCCAATGAGGTTCATGGCAAGACCTAAACTAAACATATGAATTTGTGCAAGTTTATATATTAAAGTTTCTGCAGCAGAGTGAAAATTGTTACAGTTAGATGGGGTAGAGACTGTTAATCACTTAATGCCAGTGTAAATCATGTTTTGTGACCAAGCTTCAGTAAAAGCCTTTAGATTGTCAGAGTTGCCTGTTTTTTAGAATTGTATGTATATAAAAACTGAAACATTAAACAGACATATTCTAGTGTCTGAAAATTCACATAAGAAATTTCTGTCAAGTTGTTTGAACTTCGTGGGTTAATTTTACCATAACCACTTAGTTTGAAAACCTTATACAGTATGAATTCATTTTTCCTTTTGAAAATGAATTGTTATATAAAGAGCCTGAAAGTCTTTTTTTTTCCTTTTTCTTTTATTTTCTTTTTCTTTTTTTCTTTTTTGGAGACGAGGTTTTGCCCAGGATGGAGTTCAATGGCTCATTGCAACCCCTGCTTCCCGGATTCATGCAATTCTCCTGCCTCAGTCTCCTGAGTGGCTGGGATTACACAGGTGCCTGTCACCATACCAGGCTAATTTTTTGTATTTTTAGTAGAGATGGGGTTTCACCATGCCCCCAGGCTGGTCTCAAACTCCTGGCCTCAGTTGATCCATCCACCTCAGCATCCCAAAGTGCTGGGGGTAGAGGTGTGAGCCGCCACACCCAGCTAAGACCATGAAAATCTTAACAACTAGTCTTGATCTGGCAATTAGAAAACTAAAGTACTTTTCATTATTTGTCCCTAAAAACAAAATAAACTATGTTCATCTGTTTACAAGGAGGAAAGGTAAGTTTGAAGTTGTTTTTCTCTAACTTTAATGTGACCCGCAAATCACCTGCAGAGTGCTTGTAGAAACAGAGACTCTGAAGTAGCAAGGCTGGGGTGATGTCACAGGCTTTGCATTTCTACACAGCTCCCAGCTGATGTCATTGCCAGCTTATCCAAGGACTACAATTTGATTAACACTTTAAGGTGTCTGTTCAGTACTATTTTATCCTAACAGACTACATAAATGCAGCTGAATTTTCCTTTAAGTAGAATTTAAAGAGAGAAACATTTTTTTGAGACCAATATGCATAATTAGTTACATAATGTAATCCTCAAATTATGCCTGAGAAAACCCCAATATTCTAGGCTTTATTCCCAGCCAGCCCTGAAGATTTTTTCCATAGATAATTTGTTACTAATTCTGGATCTTATAGCACGTTCCTATAAACTAAGTGTAAGCTAATTATTTTGTGAAGAGTGCTGTTTCAGGTATTAATCTGGCATGAATACTAGATACAGTAGAAAAACTGAGAAAACATTTAGCTTGAGTGCCAAATTGAACTAGACACTATCATTTTTTCTCCTTATGGAATAAATTTAATGCAAATACATGTAAGCAGGTATACAATGTTGAGATGAGGCTTATTTTCCCAACTCTTTTTAACAAGTTTTATGAATGTCCCCAGTTTATATCCAAAAAATGCTGAAAGATTTTATGTCAAATTGATTACAAACTTCTCTGGGTTGTATTTCAGTCTTCTGTTAAGTATGAAATTGAGAAATAGTTTTTTTCAACGAAAGATGATGAGGAATTGATTCGTGAATGTCACTGGAGATAAAAGGGTATGAAAAGGAATCCGAAGCCGGCAAAGAAGCAGTCTAGGTGTCGAGAAGAAAACAGGCAGGTACATACCAAACCCAGGAACTACTAATGTACAGTCATACTGTAGATCAAAGTGAAGTTGCACCTTTCGATCAACTGGCAGATTTTAAAAAAATGTGATGATGGTAACATGCTGATGTTTATGTTAATTTATTTGCATTTGAATGCTTGCATTTTCATTTTTAATTGACAGAATCTTCGCGTTTCATTACCTGAGTCATGGAGGCCAAATTAAAGAATGGCAGTCTAAAATACCCAGGAACACAATTTCTATAAACAAATAAAAATTCTTTTTTTTTTTTTTTTGAAACGGAGTTTCTCTTTTGTTACCCAGGCTGGAGTGCAGTGGCGCCATCTCGGCTCACCGCAACCTCCGCCTCCTGTGTTCAGGCAATTCCGCCTCAACCTCCTGAGTAGCTGGGATTACAGGCACGCGCCACTATGCCCAGCTAATTTTTTTGTATTTTTAGTAGAGACAGGGTTTCACCATGTTGACCATGATGGTCTGGATCTCTTGACCTTGTGGCCTACCCACCTGAGCCTCCCAAAGTGCTGGGATTACAGGCTTGAGCCACCGCACATGGCCTATAAAAATTCTTTTCAAGCCATGTTGTTTGAATTAAATGATACTCCTGAGTCTGTCTACTCAGGTTTTTTTGTTTGTTTTTTGTTGTTTTGTTCTGCTTTTGAGATGGAGTCTTGCTGTGTCGCCCAGGCTGGAGTGCACTGGCTCCATCTCAGCTCAGTGCAACCTCCGCCTCCCAGGTTCAAGTGATTCTCCTGCCTCCGCCTCCAGAGCAGCTGGGACTACAGGCATGTGCCACCACACCTGTTTAATTTTTTGTATTTTTAGTAGAGATGGTGTTTAACCTTGTTAGCCGGAATGGTCTTGATCTGACCTCGTGATCTGCCCGCCTCAGCCTCCCAAAGTGCTGGAATTATGGGCGTGAGCCATCATCCCCGGCAGTCTGTCTATTCTTGCCACATCATGTTAGTTGGATCTATGACTTAGATTCTCATGTACAGAACCGGTGCTGAATTGTTAAGCAGCCAAATCCTCTATTTTTGGTATATACTCAACAGTCATTGAAGCTCATGGTATTGAAGACATGGGCATTCTTAAATGGGTAACTTTACTATGATTAGCTCATTCAAATTTCTCTCACAGATACATATATATATATGTATGTATGTGTATATGTACACAATGAACATTTATTACATACTTCATGTTTGCTGTTTATGTTGTAGGCTAAGTGAATGTGAAATGGATATATAAGAGCCTCCTAAGGCTTGGCGTGGTGGCTCCCACCTATAATCCCAACACTAGGAGGCCGAGGTGGGTGGATCACCTTAGGTCAGGAGTGGAGACCAGCCTGGTCAACATGGTGAAACCCCATCTTGACTGGGCTCGGTGGCTCATGCCTGTAATCCCGGCACTTGGCCGAGGCGGGTGGATCATGAGGTCAAGAGATCGAGACCGGTCGGGCACGGCGACTCACGCCTGTAATCCCAGCACTTTGAGAGGCCGAGGAGGGTAGACCACAAGGTCAAGAGATAGAGACCATCCTGGTCAACATGGTGAAACCCCGTCTCTACTAAAAATACAAAAAATTAGCTGGGCCTGGTGGTGCGTGCCTGTAATTCCAGCTACTCAGGAGGCTGAGGCAGGAGAATTGCTTGAACCCAGGAGGCGGAGGTTGTGGTGAGCCGAGATTGCTCCATTGCACTCCAGCCTGGGTAACGAGCGAAACTCCGTCTCAAAAAAAAAAGATCGAGACCATCTTGGCTAACATGGTGAAACCCTGTCTCTATAAAGAAAAGAAAAAGAAACCCCATCTCTGCTAAAAACAAAAAGCCAAACGTGGTTGCATGCACCTGAAATCCCAGGTACTCAGGAGGCTGAGGCAGGAGAATCGCTTGAACCCAGGAGGCAGAAGTTGCAGTGAGCCAAGATTGTGCCACTGCACTCCAGCCTGAGCAAGAAGAGCAAAACTCTATCTCAAAAAAAAAAAAAAACCCTCAGGTAGCTGAACATCTAATGGTGGCCCAAAAATAAAAACGAGTTCAGGAACATCATTAGACATAAGTACAAAGTACTGTATTATCAATTGTGATGAGCTAACTTTGAGAGGAAAGGGGAAATAGGAAGATTTTCTGTAAAAGTAATATGTGGAAAGCACCTTAGAGATCACATAGTGTATTTTGCCCATTGTAATTACATCAGTCTTCTCTGCAGGTGGTTGTCTAGAGGAATATATATGAGATTCTAATTTATGGTCTAGCATTGCAACAGCAAATAATAACCACTAATAACAAGTAGTTTTACATGCATTCAAGTGTAATTTTTTTTGAATTAGGGTCTGGCTCTGTCACCCGGGCTGGAGTGCAGTGGCAAGATCTCAAGTCACTGCAACCTCTGCCTCCTGGGCTCAAGTCATCTTCCCACCTCAGCTTCCCAAGTCGTTGGGACTACAGGCACATGCCAACACAACCAGCTAATTTTTGTAAAGGAAGGATTTCGCCATGTTGCCCTCTTTGGCTTTGAACACCTGATCTCAAGCGATGCCTTGGCCTCTCAAAGTGCTGGGATTATGGTTGTGAGCCACTACACCTGGCCAAAATTTTTTATTTGTTTAGAGACAAGGATTCCCTGTAAAGCTGGAGTGCAGTGACATAGTCGGTTTTTCTCACTGCAGCCTCCAATTCCTGGGCTCAAGTGATCCTCCTGCCCCAGCCACCTGAGTAGCTAGGACTACAGGTGCACGCCAACATGTCTGACTAATTTTTGTGTGTGTGTGTGGAGATGAAGTCTGTGTTGTCTAAGCTAGTCTCGAGTTCAGGGCCTCAAGTGATCCTTTGTCTTCAGTCTCCTGATGTGTTGAGATTACAGGTATGAGCTTTTTCAGTAAAGGAAAAATAGTGAGCATTCACATTGTAGAGTCCAAAAACATGAAAGTTCACTTTTTTTTCTGTCAATTTTACAGTTTTGTAAATGTACCCAGGTGAAGAGACTTGTCTGATTGTTACTATAGAAAGAAAAGCTACAAAAACAATTATGTTGTTCAGTATACTGTTGAGGCATTTCTAAATGAGAGGTCCCAAGTTCTTGGTTAAGAAGGAACTTAACAAAACAGTAACATAGTCAGCACTTAAGGCTAGAAATACAAGATGAAGATTCAGCAACCCTTAATTTTAAGCAGATTCCAATCTAAGGAAACCGATGCTTGCAGAAGAATTCAAATGATGTGAGAGCTAATAAGATAAAATGTGGCCAAGCACTGAGCCTTGAGGACAGTATTTAATCTCATAACAGTTCCTCTTTCCTCCTGTAGGAAGCATGGTAGTGACATTGTGCGTAAATGAAGGCAAACTGTTTTTCTGTGAAAATGTTAATAAAGTGGGTTCCTTTGGAATCATTAGTGTAAAAGAGCTGATTTTTTGTTTTCAATTGCCCAGGTCCTGACTTTAGTAATGACTTGATACAACTTT